TTTGTTAACTTCCTTTATCCACTTGCCTAAATATCTTTCACAAACCATCATATTCATCCTTTTTATGAACAAAAGTTCACATTTGCATACCATTGCCATCAACGTTCTATTAAGAAATTAAAATAGAAAATAGTAAACATTTAATATTTTTAAAAGTTGGAAACTATTTATACATTTTTATTTAATTAAATTTATTTATTGATGTGTATCCTTATGTCACATGTTAAATAAATAAAATAGAAACTATTAAATCAAGAGTAAAAGGAATTAATATGTCTTGTAAATTCAAAGATAATAACTTTTCTTCAAAAAATTAATATGATTTAATTAAGGGGAATGAAGGTTTCTTAAGTTGTTTTCCAAGAACATACATACATTAAGAAAAATAATTCTAAATTCATGTTATTAATCATCTTAATAGTTCTCTTAATTACTAAATGCAAGTAGTATTATAAATATTTGGGTAATAACACAAAACCACCTTGTAGTTAGGTGGTGTTTCAAAAGACCACTTTAAAATTTCAATTAAATCAATTTACCCCCTTAAAAAAATTATAACAATTTAACAATATTAAGACAACATCTCTGCTCTCACCTCTAACCATTGCTTTTGCCCATCGTACCACCATTGACACTTTTACCACCCACTGCATATTGCCATTGCTCGCGGGCACCTTTTTTTATCACTATTGTTGCTTGCTAACCACCACCTTCTACCGCCACCTGGTACAATTGTTCGCCGACCTTGCCTCCACCAGTCTCCCGCCGCCATCATTAGGTCTCCAAAACAAAAGATCTAATTGTGAAAATTTGACTACATACCTTACATAATTTTTTTTTTAAATTTCTATTATGGGAACATAAATAGATAGAAATAGTGTTTGGTAAAATCAGTTTAGTTTTTTCGTTACCGGAATGAAGCAGTTTAATTTTTGTGTTGGGGAATAAAAAAAGAGAAATAATTTTTTTTTGCTTCTCCGTTACATGGCACAAAAAGAGAATCACTTTTCTGTTTTTATTTTTTTTTATTTGCCACTCTCAACCATTTTTCTCAAAAAAAACACAACACCTCCTACTCCTTCCTCCGACGCTTCTGCCTTCTGTAAGTTTTTTTTTCTTCTTTTTTGCTTTTTTCTTCTAACATTTTTCTCCTTCCTTCTTCCTTCATCTTTTCTCCCCTACTGTCGCAACTTCTCTGTTTCGTTGTTCTCTATTTTATTCTTCTCCACTGATGTTGTTGTTTCTCGCTTTGCTTCATTTTTCTACCATTATTCCAGGTAAATCCACTCTATAATTCAATTTTTTATTTGATTAATTTTGATTTCTCGTTTTGAAGTTTTTGGCAGGGGTCGATTTAATCTTTGTTTTTGTTTTGAATTTTTTAATTCTTACGTTGGTTTGAGTTTAGGGTCAATTTGATTTGGGTTTAGGGTTGTTGATGTTATGGTGGTGCTCTGTTTTCTTGAGATGAGCTGCTGAATGCATATGAACTGGATTGCATGTTTAATTAAATGATAAATGAAGTATATTTAATGTATTGCTAGTTGAATTCTGAAGCTACATGTGGCTGGGTCGTTTCTCATGGGTGTTTTGGTAATCAAATATTAGTGAATGATGTGTTAATTTGATTGGTTTTGTGTTGTATACTTGTATATGTCGTTTAGGAGCTGATTCTCGGAATAAAAAAAAATTTGTTAACAAACTTAATTATAATTCTTGGAATAAAAATAAAAAGTGTTAACAAATGTAATTCTGATTCTCAGAACTTTTCCAAGGCACAAAATCAGAAAAAACTGTTTCATCTCAGAATTAGTGTTGGAAAATAAAATAATTGTCATGCATACTCAAATTCTTCATCTTTTTCAAATTAGTTTTTTCTATTCAAACAATTTAATTTATTAACTTCATCAATGTTTGCATCAGTTTGTAAGGTTCAATTGACTTTTTTATTTTTCTTTATGGTCATGAATGGGGTGCTTTCACTCCAACTTTGCATATTTCTGTTTATGAAATTGAACTCCCCTAGGGTTCTCCTGTTTCCCTATTCCCTGTGTCTCTATAAGCATTATATGAAAACTAGCTTTCGTAATTGGAACTGAGAATTTCTACATAAAGATAAAATTCACTTCTTTTGTGTCTTTTCAATATTGCTAATATGTTTTTTTTTTTTTTCCTTTCCTTGGACAATGACTTTATTTCAAGTTCTAAAGGAAATTTATACATAGAGATTTTTGTGAATTATGATATTAGGTGCACAAAAATGGGGAATCATTTTAGTTTGGGGTTTGATCAATTGTTTATGGATAAGTTAAGAATAAGGGTAGAGGCAACAACTATGACAGGATAATTGCTGAAGGACGATGGTGCAAGATTATTGGGCAGGGAAAATGGCTATGGATGAGTTAAGAATACGGGTATACTTGTCTTAATATTATCAAATATGTTAAATTGTTTTAGGGTTTGTGTTTTCTAAAGTTACTTTAGATAACTTTATCTAATGTTCACCGAAACGACGTCGTTTTGGAACGAAAATCATGATGTTTTTGTAATTTTAATTTATTTCAGGGTTATAATAGTCTTTATCATTCTAATTTTTTAATTTTTCAACCACAAAACGACGTCGTTCTGATGAACATTAGACAAAATTATCTAAAGTAACATTAGATACTTTTTTCCCATTGTTTTAATGTTATAGTTTAAGGGGGTTAATTAAGTTAATAGAAAGTTCAAGGTGGACTTTTGAAAGACCACCCAAATACAAGGTGGTTTTGTATAATTTATCCTAAATATTTTATAATCTCATGGAACTAATGCATATACTTTTTCATTTATTTATTTTTTATGTTAAGTCCTCCATCCGTTTTTTATTAGTCTCCCTCTTCTTCTTTTTTAGAAATTGCTTTTGCTCCTTTTTAACTATTAATGAAGGATTATATTTTTGAAATTTTGTACGTAATATTAATAAGTGAGAAGATTAATAAAGTGATGATAATATTAATTTTAAGTAATTTTATATAGGATAATTAATCAAATATATTTATTTTTCTAATAATTTTAATAATTTTTAAATTATTGTGGAACAAATTTAAAAAGTATACTAAGACGAAGGAGAGAGTTTGTAGAATGATGTAGTAAAACTCTTGACAAATTAGTTTGCCAAAAAAAAAAAAAAAACTCTTGACAAATTCCATTAACTAGGCAAAAGAATTAATGAAGTATCTTATTTTATTTGTTTAAAAATAAATGTCATTCTCGACAATAAAATTAATTTATTTTATCGGTTATTTTAAAAAAAAATTAAGGTATTTTTTTAACTTTATCATTATTTTTTGTCATTTCCACTAACTGGATTTAAAATGTTAATAAATTGCGAGAGTAATTTAACTAAATGTACTTATAGTTTTCTTAAATTGAAATATTTAATAATTTTCTTAATTATCACAAAAAACTTCATCAAAAATCTTTTAAAATATATGAATGAAATGAATTTAACTCATCCCTTTAGATACCGGATAACAAATTTCGTTCGTAAAAGCTATGTGATAGAATTGAGGTCTTTGCTATTAAAGATGTTGATACTTGACAGTTAAGTATTAAATGAACAACTAATGCAGACCCACTTAATTTCTTAACATAAAAGAGGCAGTACGCCATTCCAATCCCAGAAATATTTTTCAATTGGGTATACATATTTTGGGAACAAATCGAGTATAATCTATTATTTATGAATAACGCTATTTTTAAATACTAGTATAAACTTTTTTTTATACCTTTATTGTTTTATTTTTTAAGTATTGATAATATTATTAAGAGGATATGGCATTATTCCTTATCTATATATAATATATGGGAAAAAAAGTATCTAATGTTACTTTAGATAAATTTGTCTAATGTTCATCGAAACGACATCGTTTTGAGATTGAAAAATTATAAATTTAGAATGATAAAGACTATTATAACCCTGAAATAAATTAAAATTACAAAACACCATGATTTCCGCCCCAAAACGGCGTCGTTTCGATGAACATTAGATAAATTTATCTTTGTTAAGAGAAGCTTACCCATTTAATATGATCTCCCGTCTAGAAAGAATTAATCTTCAAATGTTATTCCATTATACACAGTGGCAGAGCCAGCCTCCAAACTTAGCTAGGATTAAGAAAAATTTAGCTAGTGTCAAATACTAAAATATGAAAGATTATTTTGCCACATTTATTTAGCTACATTTAAAAAGTGGCTAATTATAAAATTGTAGTTGGGGCCAAAGCCCCTCCCATATTGTATGTAGCTCCGCCACTGGTGTATATCAATGTATGAGTTATATGGTACATCTTATTAATATTATTGTTATTGAAATTAGTATTATAACTTTTATCAGCATGTAAGACATAATTAAGGATTTAAAAATAAAAGGGCAAATTAATGCAAACTATTCAATATTAAACTGAAAATCCAAATTAGAGTGCTAAATAGGTCCAATATCATTTATAATATAGTTAGAAATCATCTGTTACTAACCACCACCATGTATAAAATGAAAACAAAAACATTGAATATTTACAGTCAGACAAAATGCATATATTAGTTTAATTAATTAATTAAGTAGTTTCAAACCTTAAGTTATTGAACTGGTATTAATAACTTGCTATAGCATTTCTTACAAAATTATAAAAGGGAATAATAATTCTTCCACTTATGTTACTCAAATGTTTAGGGTCAATATCTTGTACTCGTACATAATTTGACCTTAACGGTTGACCTAATGACAGAAACAGCAAAATACCGAATGTGAAAGTTGCAGTTGCATGCAAATACACGTATCCGTTTTTCTAAACCATAATTGGATTAAATATATATCGCCGTAAAATGTAAAAAGAAGAGAGATAGAGAGAGAACGCTCTAACAAGAAAGGGAAGAAGAAAACAATAGAAATGTGAATAAAATAGAGCAATCAATAATAAAAGTAAATAAATAATCTAAAATTGAAAAAACATCTTAGTTCTGGGTTCTTGGTAGTAGGTGAGGTGGTGCGAAAACGAGGGCTTTCCTCTGTTTACTTACTTTCTCTCTCTTGTCTTTTGTTTTCTCTTTCTGATTCTTTGCTAATTCAGAAAATGGATCTCTAACGCAACTTCATTCCTTTTTTCTTTTTCTTTTTTTCTTTTTTTTTTTTAATTGTCTGTTCCGCGGCAAAAACGCTGCGTTTTGTTGAGACCAAAACTTTGCAGTTTCCGGGTAATGTTTTTTCTTTCTTTCTTTCTTTCTGGGTCCTGGATTGCGTGAATTTCAGAATTCCCAGATCTTGTTTCCGTTTCGGTCTTCAATTCGAGGTTACGTTCGAGGGAGCAGTGGCTTTGTTTTTTGGGATTTGGATCTCTAGGTTGGGAATTGTCGGCGGCGAAATCAGGGATTGTTTGGGTGTGTTTTCCGGCGAATTGGTCCTCAACTTTTTTGGGATTAGGGTTTTGGCCTGATGGCTTCAAATCCTCCATTTCATGGGGAGGATCAGACGGATGAGGATTTCTTCGATAAACTGGTTGAGGATGATATCGAGCCCGTTATGTCTGGCCATGATGATTCCGATGACGCCAAAGCGTTAGCGAATCTAGCTATCACTGATGATGCTGATGCTGATGCTGCATTTGGGAATTCAGATGCCGGTGAGGGTGGGATTGAGCTGAAAGGGGAAGAGGGAGAGGGTAGTGTGAAATTGGATGGTGGAAATGCACAAGAGGGAAATTTTTCGGTGCCCTCTAGTTCATCTGGATGCAGTAGTTCGATGGATCATGGTAATGGAGGAACATTGGCTTCAAGTTTGACCAAGAGCAATGGAATCACCAGTTCAGAGGTTAAGGAGGTGGATTGGAATTCCTTTCATGCTAATTCAAATGGAGGTGTTGGGTTTGGATCGTATTCTGACTTTTTCAGTGACTTGGGTGATCAATCTGGGGACTTTCCAGGGAAAGAAGCTCATGATTCTAATACTGAGGTGAAACCTGGTAATGAAATTCCAAATTATGGCTCAAATGATTCAGTTAATTATGTGCAATATCAGGAGGGTCAAGGTTATGATGCATCTGTGGGAAATAACGCAAATGAGCAAGATCCGAGTAGTGATCAGTATTGGGAGAATCTTTATCCTGGCTGGAAGTTTGACTACAACACTGGGCAATGGTATCAAGTAGATGACCAGAATGTAACAGCCACTACTACTCAGGGAAGCCCCGAAGCCAATACAGCGGTGGGTTGGACAGCTGCTTCTGATGCTAATACGGATATGTCTTATATGCAGCAAACTGCTCAGTCTGTTGCTGGAACTTTAGCTGAAACTGGCACAACTGAAAGTGTATCTAGCTGGAATCAGGTTTCACAAGGGAATAATGGGTATCCAGAACATATGGTTTTCGATTCTAATTATCCTGATTGGTATTATGACACAATTACCCAAGAATGGCGCTTGTTAGAGACTTACATTTCTTCTATCCAGTCTGCTGTTCCGGGACGTGAAAATGGGCATGATTCTACCGGTACTTTTTCACATAATGATAACAGTTTGTATAGAGAGTATGGCCAAGCTGGCAATTATGGGTCACAGGGCGTTAGTAGCCAGGCTGCAGATGACAGCTGGAGTGGTTCATATGGTACTAACCATCAACAGAGTTTGGACACTTACCCAACTGAGACTGCTACTAAAAGTGGGGATAGTGCAACTTCTAGCGGAAACCAGCAATTTGATCATTCTTTTGGTTCAAGTATTTCTGTCAACAAAGATATACAAAATACTTATAGGTCCTTTGGATCAGTTCCATTGTACAATAAAGTAAATCACGATCATGTTTTGGCTAATGGAACTGTTGAACGGCAAAGCTTTGCCCCTAGTGGTAACATTGTTCAACATTTTAATTATTCAAATACACAGTTTGATGAACAAAAAAATTTCTCCAAAGATTATGCTGAAAGTCAGAAATCCTTCAGTTACTCCCAGCAATCATTCCAGGGCGGGCATCAGAATTCGTATGCCCCTCATGCTGAAATGGCTGGACGTCCTCCTCATGCCCTGGTAACCTTTGGATTTGGTGGAAAACTTATTGTAATGAAAGATTCTAGTCTTTTGAGCTCGTCATATGGAAGCCAGGTTAATTCTTAATTCCTCTTTTCAGTTTCATCTATGTTCATTTGATATCTGCAATGATTAACACTGTGTATTCGCTTTTATATGAAGAGTGCTGTACAAGGCCCTATTTCTGTGTTGAACTTGATGGAAGTTGTCACAGGAAGCATTGCTCCTTCCAGCATCAGAAATGACACTGGTGATTATTTCTGTGCTCTCAGCCAGCAATCTTTCCCAGGTCCATTGGTTGGGGGGAGTGTTGGAAGTAAAGAGTTGTACAAATGGATAGATGAGAGGATTGCACACCGCGGATCGCCTGACATGGATTATAAGAAAGGTGAAAGGTTGAAACTCCTTCTCTCCTTGCTTAAAATAGCTTGTCAGCATTATGGAAAACTACGTTCTCCTTTTGGAACGGACACCATACGAAAAGTAAGTTGAAACTATAGTCTTTCAAATCCTCTGTATTTTCTTTCTGTGTGATTGTTCATTGAATTTTCCATACTTTTCAAGATTGATGAAAGTTCTATTAAGAGCTTCACAGTGCATTAGATTGATTGCAACATAATTAAGTGTTAATTTTTAATGCTATCTTTCATCAATGCATATGTTGGATCTTTAGTAATCTACCTTTTATGTTTGCTACCCTCCAGAGTTTCTTTAATATTGATGCAGATGATGTTTGTACCTTTGTTTCCCTGCTTTAATCACCTCTTTTTGAGCTCTCGGAAATGGATACTATGCCTTATTCTCTTTCCTTGATTCAATAGGTCATTCTTGTGAGTAATTGTGGGAAAGTTAAATTCTTTTTCATATTCCTTTAGGTTAACAAGGAAACAGATGCTAGTGGACGTGGAATCTTCTATTCCTTCTTTTGCAAAAGGAGGAGAACTTGTTGTATTTAAGGGCTGCAAAAATTAGGACCTTGAAAGTATTCAGACAAACTGCGGAATTTGTTATTAATGATCTATTTAACTGCTGTAACTTCGTGAAATTATTTCGGTTGATTTGTAAAAGTCATGATTTACCTACTTTACTTAGTATGCCCCCCGTGGTAGTTTTGATTCAGTCATATTACTGCATTAATACTATTCCTCACGGGATCATTTCTAGATTTGGTAACCCACCGGCTTTGTGTTTTATATAGGAAAATGATACTCCTGAGTCAGCAGTTGCAAAACTTTTTGCATCTGCCAAGATGAGTGGCAAGGAGTTCACTCAGTATGGTGCGCTGAGCCACTGCCTGCAAAATTTGCCTTCTGAAGCACAAATGCGGGTGTGTATTAAGTTAAATCTTAAGCGAACTACTGTCTCAGATTGTTAAATTTGTTCCCTTTACTGATTTTTATTTTGATCTAGGCAACGGCTTCCGAGGTACAGATGCTTCTTGTCTCTGGTAAAAAGAAGGAGGCTTTGCAATATGCACAGGAAGGTCAGTTGTGGGGACCTGCACTTGTCCTTGCTTCACAACTAGGTGATCAGGTCAGCTGTCAATTTTTTTTATGTATTGAATACTGTACTGAACTACTGATCCTAAAATGTCTGAGCTAGACTGTAATATCCCAAGAAAATAATAGTAATTTATAATACAATAAATTAATAATAGTAATAAATTATAAATTATTAGTAGTAATAATAATGTTGTGTGTGTGTATATTTAGGATTAGATGATAAATTGTGATTGTTTGAATTATTAATTGATTGGTCATTTATGCAATAATGTTTGATTGATAATGTTTGATTGATAATTTGATTAGATATGATGAGTCAGCATTGAGTCAATAATGAGTCAGTAATGAGTTAGCGATATTCTAAGCCATAAGAAATTAAGAATAAAAAAATAAATAGTGTATGAAGCCAATATCTGAGCCAGATATATCAATAAAGAATAAGGAAATAAATGCACGAAACCCATATCCGAGCCCAAAACTTCAACTATAAATAGAGGCCTAGCCTAACCAAACCAATTCACTTCAACTTCAACTTTTCAACTATAAAAATGTAGTCTTAGATTTTTATTTGAATGTAATAGAGTTAGCCTTGCACTTGTCCCTGTACAGGTGCGGCGGTAACATTTCCCCAAATTAGTTTTAGATAAGCTGCCGCAATATTTATATTATCATAATTATATAAAACGTGAATTTTGACAATTTATTTATTATAAGAATATTTTATAAATTGTTAGAAATTTAGGGGTCTTACATAGACAGTCCCTTATGTGTGTCTTACAGTCCTTATCCTGCCTTTATTTGGAAAATAAATTTTGTACATGTTTGCACTGCAGTTCTATGTTGATACAGTGAAGCAAATGGCACTTCGTCAACTGGTTGCTGGGTCACCTCTACGCACATTATGCCTTCTAATTGCTGGGCAACCTGCAGAAGTTTTCTCTTCTCACAGCTCAATTAATGGGGATCCTAGTGCTTTCAATATGCCTCAACAGCCTGCACAGATGGTCTTAGTAGGATAAATTAATAAGCCCTGCAAGGGCTGCAATTCAGATGTTTTCTTACTCAAAAGTTGCCATAGTTGCAAATGTTATTGGTTTTTATTCGACTTGGAAACTCACGCCTTTGTTGTTGCTTTGCAATTTCAGTTTGGATCTAATGGCATGCTTGATGATTGGGAGGAGAATTTGGCTGTAATAACTGCAAACAGAACTAAAGATGACGAACTTGTAATTATTCATCTTGGTGATTGCTTGTGGAAGGAAAGAAGTGAGGTATAGTTGTTCTTGATATATTTTCTGCTGTTTAATGAATTTTGTGGATTTCTTTTCTGCTTCTGATTTGAGAGTCATATTTTAGATCACTGCTGCACACATCTGCTATTTAGTTGCTGAAGCAAACTTCGAGTCATACTCAGATAGTGCGAGGCTCTGTCTAATAGGAGCAGATCACTGGAAATTTCCTCGAACTTATGCTAGTCCAGAGGCCATCCAGGTTCATTGACATCTCCTTAGCTCTTAGGTTGCTTCTTCCGCAAAATTGGGTTGTCCTGTTGCATGTGCATGTTTTGAGTCCTTTTCTCACAAAATGTAACATACACTGTGTCTATTCGGTAACACCTCTCTCTCTCTCTCTCTCTCTCTCTAACTTGGGACTTTTCTGGTTCCCAATTGCATGATTTTCTAGGGTTTTACAAGTTTCAAACTTGGATCTTTCATATTCTATACTATATCTGTTTACATGCGTAAGAAGATGGCAGATCCTTTCAAAATTACCTCTCCCATCTTAGGTTTATCAACAAATGAATGTGACATTTTTAAAACCTTGTGTTTTTAAGGTTTTAAAATAACCTCTCTCGGTGTGGCATACTTGTGTCACCTTAGCATCTCTATCTCTCTAAAAAAAATGTTATGTTCAATCTGACTCAATTTTTTGTAAGATGTGTTACTGGAAACTTATCTTACCTGATGGTTACTTGGACAGAGGACTGAGTTATACGAATATTCAAAGGTGCTTGGAAACTCTCAATTTATTTTGCTTCCGTTTCAGCCATATAAGCTTGTATATGCATATATGCTAGCTGAAGTGGGAAAGGTTTCAGACTCGTTGAAGTAAGTTAATTGAATATTATTTGTGATGTTATGCTTTATGTAATCTGCCTTACTGTTGTTTCATAACTTCAGGTACTGCCAAGCAGTCCTGAAATCCTTAAAAACTGGCCGTGCACCAGAAGTAGAAACGTGGAAACAATTGGTAATATCTCTTGAGGAGAGGATTAAAACCCACCAACAGGTACTTCCTTGTCCTTTATTGAGTCTTCACTATTTTGAGTGTTGTTACTTATCCTCTTGTTTAACAATATATATTCAGGGTGGGTATGCTGCAAATTTGGCTCCCGCAAAATTAGTGGGCAAATTGCTAAACTTTTTCGATAGTACTGCACATCGAGTTGTAGGAGGTTTACCACCACCTGCTCCATCATCATCACAAGGAACTGTTCATGGAAATGAACAACATCACCAGCCTATGGCACACAGAGTATCCAATAGCCAATCAACAATGGCCATGTCATCCTTAGTTCCATCTGCTTCAATGGAATGGACAGCTGACAGTAATAGGATGACAAAGCCTAATAGAAGTGTTTCAGAGCCAGACTTTAGTAGAAGCCCCCAACAGGTGTGTGATTACTATTGTTAAGGGTGTATTTTGAAAATTTTCTGCTTCTTGTGTTTGGTTGAGTTTTAGAGTATTCTATTTGTTGAAAAAAAACTGGTTGATTCATCACAGGAAACCTCAGCTGATGCACAAGGAAAAGCGCCAGAATCAGGGGGCACATCTCGCTTTTCTCGTTTTGGTTTTGGTTCACAACTTTTGCAAAAGACAGTGGGGCTAGTCTTGAGACCTCGGCCTGGCCGACAGGTATTATTAGTTGTTTTATATTCCATGTTTTATTTTATTTCCTTTCAACAGTGCTTTTGACTTTGCGAATTCAAATGATTCGTATTCTGCTCTATATGAAGGCTAAACTGGGTGGAAAGAACAAGTTCTATTATGATGAAAAACTGAAAAGATGGGTAGAGGAAGGTGCTGAACCTCCGGCTGAAGAAACCGCACTGCCACCACCTCCAACAACTGCTGCTTTTCAGAATGGTTCGCCCGAATACAACTTGAAATCTGCATTGAAGACAGAAGGATCACCTTCTAATGAGGGCTCTGATTTAAGAACTCAGAGTCCTGAACTTACTCCAGGGATCCCACCAATACCACCTAGCACAAATCATTTCTCTTCCCGAGGCCGCATGGGTGTTCGATCAAGGTAAGATAAAGTCTTGTTATGATCATGTTCGAGTTGGAACTTGGCATATGAGTAGTAGTTGTCGGTTATCAAGCATTGTAGGGTGGACCTGTTGATTTCTCTATTAGATTACAAATTTTGAAATTGAAGACCCTTCAAGTACTGTAAGAATGGTTGCACTTAAAAGGTTAAACTATCATATTAGCTGAGTCTTAAGTTGTAATTACCTTATCACAACTAAGTAGAGAGTTATAGAATGGAGGATAGTCTTGTTTCTAGGCCTAATTAAAATATATATACTGGAAATATCAAACATGAAAAGAAAGCAAATTAGGAAGAAGAGAGTTTCTTATTGATAGTTCATTCTGTCAAACATCAACAGCATTTAAAAGGCAGATCAAATTGTTGAAACTTTTATGGACTATGCAGGTACGTTGACACCTTCAACCAAGGTGGTGGAAGCCCTGCAAACTTGTTTCAGTCACCATCTGTTCCATCCGTCAAACCTGTTCTTGCTGCCAATGCTAAGTTTTTTATTCCTGCTCCTGTGCCATCATCAAATGAGCAGACAATGGAGGCTATAGCAGAAAGCAATCAAGAAGATAGTTTAGCGAATGAAAATCCTTCAACTTCTTCTAGGAATGAATGGTCATACCAATCCCCCAAACCCGCATCATCATTGGCCAGGATTCCGAGTATGGGTAACATCTCAAACCGGGGAGCAATGATGAATGGAAATAACTCTCATCCCCCTCATTCACGGCGAACAGCTTCATGGGGTGGGGGGAGTATTAGTGATTCATTTAGCCCCACAAAATTGGGTGAAATTAAGCCTTTAGGTGAAGCTTTGGGAATGCCACCATCAACATATATGCATGATGAGTTTTCTTTAATGCGCACACCTAAGAAGAGTGGGAGTTTTGGAGAAGATCTTCATGAGGTTGAACTTTGAGGCTTGAGCACATAATTAAGCTGTAAATATCAAATTTTGTTTATGGTCATCAGAGCAGTTGGGACATCCCTGCTGCATTTCTCTGAAACTACGGAATGGTGGTACACATCAGGTGAAGTTCATTAAGAAACATATTACATCTTCCCCTCGCCCCTTGTTTTACCAAGGGAGTTGACACTGGCCACCATCCAAGGCTCAAGGGACTGGTGTCTTTTAGCAAGGGACAAACCACGTAGGTGAGTAGTACAACTCATTTGTTCATTTTATTAAACAAGAAAACACAATATGTCCCACGAGGAAAAGAGGCCTCAACAGATCCAAGGACAAAAGAATAATCTATGGAATTGTGAAATATAAGTTTTGCCCCTTTTGGAATTGTTTCAGTTATGAAATGGAATTTAATTTACAAATTAGAGCCTTCGGTCTTGATTTGAAATGTTGTTTACACATAAACCAGTTATCTCATCCCTACGCACAGTTTATTTTATACTTATATTTATATTAAAGATTATTATGCTTGATTATTATTTCGGATACCTTAATTTTATAAGATGCTTCTAAATAAATATTCTCAAATATAGATAATAGAATGTTGAAAACTGATTCCAGTTTTAGCATTTGGTAACTTTTTAATTTTTGTTTCATTTCAACACCTTCACATTTTTTAAAAATTGTTTAATTATTTTTTTTGGATAAATAAAGTTCATAAAATATATTTTAAATTAATTCGCAAATGTAGATAAATAAATAGAGGGAAAGAATCAACATAGATTGGTGCAAGTTTTACATTATTTATTAATGGTTGATCTCACTTATATTTAATGGCTCAAATTTATTATGTGTAGATACAATTGGAATTAATGATTTAAGCTTGGGTATAAGACTTACATAAGTTGATTCTCTCCGGAAATAGAATGATTGAATATTAATCTAAGGTGGTTCAAGGTTTTTTGTTTGTTTGTTTATTTAATAATTTTCACCAACACTTTTACCTAATATAATGTTTTCATTCATTGCTTCTAATATAAATGATAACAGTAACTGTTTCTCAAGGCGATTTTATTTTCTTTGGTTGATGAAAAGAATTGAAGTCTTCAATGTCTCATAATTCAAAGACTTATATGAGTATTCAATACGAAGATCTGGCAGGATGTAGTTGAAGCGTAAAGACTTCTCACAGTCGCGGGTCATGGGGTTAGTGTGAAACTTAATTACTAGACATTACACGCACTTGAGTGTGTTTTTTTATTTTTAATCCTTTTTGCAAAAGAATAAAAGTTGAAGGGATTGTTTGCTACAAAGAAAAAAGAAAAGAACAAAACACTGCTCTTCTTGTATGTGGAATTTAAGTTCGAACATTTCAATAACAATCGACTGTCTCTTTTTAATCGTAAGATTTGAATGTAGCTCGCTAGCTCAGTGTCTCGTTTCAGGTATTCACGAAGAAGATACTTCCAAATACTTGAAATTGGAAGACATGCTCAAGTTAATTTAAAGGTGTAAGTATATCAAGCAAAGGGGAAAATTTGGAGGGGGCCTGACTTAGTTTGATAAATACTCAAACGATTTGAATTGGAGCTTCGATGAGCGAGGTTGTTTAACATTAATTTAAATTTTCGAAAGCGAGCTTAAATTTAAACAAATTTTAATTCGCAACTATTTTTACTAAATTCAAGTCGTTATATAATTGAGTTGATAAAATGGGTAGAACCTAATTGGTCAACCAGCCAAAATGGATGATTTAGATTGTATATTTCAACCGATCAACCCAATACAACTCACCTTACATCTTGGTAAAAACTGGTAAGGGATGGGGCGAGTTAACTACTAGTCACTTTTCTGAAGAAAAAAAATTAAATTAAATGTTAGATGATGGTCTGATTCATCTATGTAAATGGCTATTATGTTAGACGAAACTTTGTTTTTAAGGCCATCATAATATTGTTTCACAATAAATGTTATTTTTTTGTTCGCTTTTGATTGGGCAGAAAAAATATATCAACACAAAAAAGAAAACAAACTTGTACAAATCAAATTAGATGGTTATGAAATACTAGTTACAAGATGCAATAATTTTTTTATTTGCAAATATTCACATATTTGATGTCATTATTTTATTATTTAATAACATTAAAATTATTAATTAATCTATAGTTATGATTTGTGTAGCTATATTGATTTAGATATTTTTTATTAATTAAATTGGAATAACCCGTTCAAGCTAGACTCGTGAATATCTTTGAAGAGAGAGATAATAAATTATATTGTACCATAAAGTATGATCATCGTTTGTCAGACTGAAACATTTGCCATTGTCTGCCATGTATATTTAACAATGTCATTTCAACAATTAAGCAGGATGGATGATTAGCCACTGGAATGGGTGTGTTCGTTTTAGTTGAAATGTCTGTTGTTAAAAGTTGACCATGAGAAAAGTGTCTATACTTTTAAATTACACAACTTACATTCTTTCACTCTCATAAAGAGGTAGGACTCACAACTTTATTTTTTTTTTGTCAACTCTCTCTCCTCCTTTATCTATCTCTTTCTCTCTCTTAAAATGACACAAATTTACATCTTTTAAAATTATACACACTTTTTCCATATATATAACTCTAAAATAGTTAACATGTTATCTATTTTTTGAAAATCACTTCTTACAAAATTCTAGACTGTAGAATTATACATTTGTCCTTTTCTAAACAACTTTATTGTTGGTGTGAAATCCAGCAAAATTTTCAAAAATATATTTATAATTGAGAAAAGTGTTTGTCATTTTAAATGACATAACACTCTGTCATTTTAAGAGAGAGACAGACACAGAACAAAAAAATTTATTTAAATTTTAAATTAAAAAAAAAACCACACACTTTCTCTCTCCCATGATTTTCATTTTTCTGTGTCTGTCTCCTTCCTAAAATGACATAACTTATATCATTTAAAATGACAAACACTAAACTCTTTATAATTATACTTTAAAGATGATTTTTTATCATACAAATTAAATCATTCTTTTAAAAATAAAGTCTTAACATCTGATTAGGCAGGGCACTCCAACCATCAATCCATAAGAAAAAGAAGGTTTACAGTATTTAGAAAACGGGCCTAAAGGCCCACATTTAAGCCCACAAGCTTTAACCCTAGCAATACAAGTAGAGCATCTCTGATTTAATTTTAGGGTTTCTGCTTGTAGCTGCTGCAACTGAAAAGAACAGAAGAGAGAGAGAATCAGCAACTCATCATAATGGGTGAGTTACTTACGAATTTCTATTCAATAGGATTTGGTGTTTGTTCTGCATATGAATATGATGATGATGATATGTATTGTAATTCATGTGTTTGGTTAATGTTTGGATTGCAGGGAAGGTTCACGGTTCTCTTGCTCGTGCGGGCAAAGTGAGAGGCCAAACTCCCAAAGTGGCAAAGCAAGACAAAAAGAAGAAGCCGCGTGGACGCGCTCACAAGCGCATGCAATACAATCGCCGATTCGTCACCGCCGGTAACCCTTTAGTTCCTTCCCTTTTTGCTTGTTTATTTATTTTCTCAGATTTCTAAACCCACATGCCCACAATGTTGATGTTACTTTTTTTTATTTTTTCTACCAAAAAAACTGATTTTGTTGTGTTGGAATAGTATAGCTTGTGAATTTCGTGCACTCATGATGTGGGTTTGTTCTTTGTTTTTTTTTTTTTCCGCTTTGTGTTATTGTAGTGGTGGGATTCGGAAAGAAGCGTGGACCAAACTCATCTGAGAAGTAAGGAAGACACTTGGAGGATTTTTTTTTTTCTTCTTTTTAGTTTGCGGAATGTATTACTTGATTGATGAATTGAAACGGTGAAAGTTCTTATTATGGTTCAATGAAGGAGTTTTTTTTGCTATTTAATATCAAACTCTATATTTCTTCCTTAATAAAAACTGTGTAAGAATTTCTTCTACACGCAAGATTGTTTGGTTTTCAACAGAAATAGGGATGAAAATAGGCAAGCAGGGAATAATAAGCTTATCAAGAATTCAATGGAACTACTTTGTAGCTTTGGCAATTTATGTTTTGCACCTTTCATTACTTAACTGCCACAAATCTTATAACCTTATAATTTGCTGCAAAGAGGCCTGAAGGGAAAACACAAACCATTTTGTGCATAATAGTAAGGTTTGTGTTTTGCCTTTCCGAGGAAACAGTTCATTTCATTCATGCTAGTATCATATTTGGGTTTTTTTTTTTTTTAAAGACCAGTGTTTTCGACTTTGGATGAGGGATTGATCCCTTTTTGGCTTTGTAGCTTTTGTTGAGTTTTGAACTCTTGCCCTTTAAGCCAATTGATTATTGATTAGAATGCTTTGTAGATGATGCTTCTTAAATTTGAATAGCATGCAAACTACCAGCTGCTTTACAGGGATGGACTCTTGTGAAAGAAAACCACACCAAGGACCTTGTCCTCTTACATTCCTCTCAATCTTCACTTTCAACCTCTCCTTACGATTTATTTAATCCACCTGCGTTCTTGTTCACAGGGAATGGATTCTTCTCATGTTAGATAATATCATGATTATATCATGAGCGAGAATCTTAATCACTTGAGGGTGAATAAATGATGACTAGGGATCAGAAAAAAATATATTAGAATGGAAAGTTATAAAATTATCTCCGTGATAATGATTAAGATTTTTTAATGTTAAATAACATGAGGATGAATTTGTTTTCTAAAGTGGGGGACTTTTTAAAGGGTAAAGTACAAACAAACAATTGATATTCTTCTAATAGTTGAAATTTAGATAAAATTTATGTATATGAATGATGAATTACAAAGAAGTTAAAATTTATCTTGAGCTATAGAAAGAAACAATTTCACAAGCGCCATGTTTTCTTGGGAAAAATGTTTATCCTTTTAATTGACATAATTTATATTCTTTTACTCTCATAGAGAGGTGAGATTCACATATTTATATTTTTTTGTCCACTCTTTTTTTTTTATCTATTTCTTTCTCTCACTTAAAATGACATAACTTTACATCCTTTAAAATGATACATATTTTTTCTTATTTTCTTTTTAATACGTAACTTCCAACGATAACTTCAAAATTAATTGTCAAGAATTATATTTTCCATTAATCTAAACTAGTAAACGTGGAGGCTTTTTGACATTTTTACTTCTTATTAATTAAAAAATAATTATTTTGTTCTTGTTCCAAAATTATACACCAATATGTTCTATTTAATTGATTACAAAAGGCTCTTAATCGATTAAGTGTCTAAAAAAATATTGTAATCGATTACTAAAAATTTTTAATCGATTATATGCGAAGCGTATGAGATTTTATTTCAATGGGCGGAAAGTGGTTATTTTTTTACTTAATAAAGGTTTAAAAAAAACCTAAACATCAACATCAATTTTAGATTGAAACATTATTTAAACTAGCCAAACATATGGTATATATTGACTTTGTAATATGATGAATATGTTTTATTTCATTAGTTTGTTTAATTTTTAACGAGAATAATATTAGTCAAAACTCAAAATTAACTTAAACATTTGTGTAAGCCTTTTAAACTCAACATAAATTAAAACATTGAATTTATTGAAAAATATCATATATATATATATATATATATATATATATATATATATATATATATATATATACCTTTGGTTTCAAAAATCCAGTGCATAATGTCAATGTAGAATTATACTAAATGAAAAGCAAAGAATTGTTCTAAATCAATTTGAGCTTTAGGTTTTATTACAAGTGACTTATAACTAGTTAGTTACTAACAAAGAATAAAACATTTCCCAGGTGGGCTTTTTTTTTTTTTTTCTCGCTTCAATTTTATAGTTATTTTTGCGAACTAATTTCTTTTTTGGTAAGTGCAGTGTGGATAAATTGCAATTATAGATGGTTTCATACATCGTGAATTTCCGATAAATCCGATGCATACACCATTTGATATCCAACAGAAATCTTTACACAAGATGTATAAGTCAATCAGGAAGACGTCACAATATTAACTCAAAATTGTGTTATAGAGTTCGGAAAGTATAAATACATCATTTAGATGCAAGTTGTCTGGTTTGTCTTTGAATCATTTATACTATGACACCTCATATGTTAAAATTTCAAATGGTACGGTCAATGTGTTAATTTTGAAAATTTTATGGCAAAATTGTAAATTTCAAAAATTCAAAGGCTGAACTACAATATTCAAAAATAACAAAGATCAGTAATTATATAAATTAGAAAACCCTCCAATGTGTTCTTCCCAAGGATTTCCAACCATATGATCAAAATCATGAGGCTGCATGAAGGGGTTTTAAAATGTCCAATGTAGGCATGGATACGTGAGATTTGTTAGAAATCAAATTTAGACTTTGCCACATCATCTTTAATCTCCATCATGCTAGAAGTATTTAGAATATCGTAGAAGTCAAAAGCTGTAGAAGAAGATTATGGATGCTTGTAGAAACTTACGGAAGCTTGTGGAAATTCAAGGAAGCTTGTGGAAGCTTGAAGACTCTAGAAATATTTGGATCTTATCCATTGCCAAATCATGATGAGTTGTCAATCTTATCCATCAAATTAGAAGCTTCATGAAGCCTTATCTATATATATGAGTTGTGCTAAGTGTGTGTCTAATATAAGTTGTCAAAATCAATTTGAAGACTACAAAGTTGCAAGAATGGTCAAAAGTGGAAACTAGTGGTTGTAATATGTTGTCAAATTCAAGTTGAACTCTTCCATGTGTAGCTATATATATATGTGTGTGTGTTATATGTTAGGTATTCTAGTTGTAATAAGTGAGAAAAAAGAAAGGGTGTAAGAGTGTGAGAAAAGAAAGTGTTGAAACACTTGTGAAAGAGAAAAAGGAGAGATTTGTGAAAAACATAAATAGAGATTAGTGTTGTAATATTTTGTTCTTGAGTGAAACTTAGATATAGCAAAATACCTTCTTCTATTATACTTATTGTGTTCATTTATTCATCTTCAACAATTGGTATAAGAGGAATTGAAATTCCAATAAGATTATTAAGATCTTAACCATTCTCTCTCCCTGCCAATTTCTGATTGGCATCGTGCAAGTACATCAACTCCTTCCCATTTCATTTGCTTGCATGCTAAAGAATTCTCCAGAGTCCCACGTTCTGTCGTGGTCACTCATGATAGTACCCCTGAAATTCCCACAAACTTTTCCTCTCTTCTTGCAGTTTTGGAGCTTGAGAAGCATTCTTTTTCCCCCTACAATTCCCACAACACTTTCGATTCACCAAGAACACCCACTAATAGCCTCTTAGCAACCCAACCCCTCTTCATCTCCTCTCCATCATTCCCTCACTCTTAAGTTGAACATTGTAATTTCTTGGCCAAAATTCCAGACATGCTGTAGAGGATTGCCTTAACATAAAAATTCATTAGAAATTGGAACCTAAAGCTCTGTGTCGGCAAAACCAAGAGGGAGAGATATTGTCCGGAGATGAAGAGAAGTTCTGGAGCCCTTGCATGTGAAAGAAGATTCCTTTCGTTTGTGGAGCAACTTAAGATATATTGTGTGTCCATCTTTAGTGTAAGTTTCAAAAACTTCCTTTGATTCTACCATTTAAAACTTCGCCCATGTACTGTAGCCATAGATGGCAGCGAAATTTAGTGGTGTTTTGATGTGTTGATAAGCTTAATTAATAAAAAGACTGAATGCATGTGGTTGTTTGTACTCTTACATATGTGCATGTATGATTTGAATGAAGTGAGATACCAAAATGTAAGAAAATTGTTTTTGTAAAAAATTTCTATAGGTTCTTGAGACCCTTTGAAACATGTTAGAACCCTTGTGAAGCAAAATTTTGAAGTTGGAAGGTTGCTGTGAAATATTGTTTCAAGCCCTTGTGTTCTGATCCAGATATCCGGATATCTTGTATGAGATATATGGATATTATGGACAATATATTCGGATATGTCTCGAGTATGTATTCAGATATACTAGGTTATTTATCTGGATATATTGAGTGATATATGTGCATATCCTCTAAAAGATATCCAAATATCTATCTCCAAAGTTTATTTTCTGAATGTCTTATAATTTCATATGTATGAAGCATGAGTTATGGTTCTGTCAGTAATGGACGTTCATGTATTTTCCATCGATACTACATTAAGTACATATGGGATTATCAGATTGCATAATAGTGTAATTGTGATTGACACCCTCATGTGTTTACCAATAGCAATGTATCATAATCTTATTTGTGATATAAAATTGATGGTTGAGGCATGTTTTGTTGAGCATCTATGTGTATATGGATTTGATCATAGTTTCTTCCACTTGTGCTTTACCCAACATAGTAAGAGTATAGTAGTTGGCATTTCAAGGGTCTTATCATGGTTAAGCTCAATTCACATACAGGCCAACTAGTGCAATTAAGTGCACATACGTAACTTATGGGTATTGGGTCTTACGACCATAAAGTTCATGATCTATAGTTGCTCATACAATAATTGTGGAGTCGATCTTGTTACCATATAATGGGTATGGTGACCATACAACTTATGTTTCTTATTAATGATGGATGCGTACAACACCGTATTATCTTGTTGAATATATATATTGTGAGTTGTTGTTGCGATCACAACAAATGCACTGGTCGTACAAGTAATAAAGTGAATGAGTAGGGTATTGTTCCCACGAGGATTGATTTATCAAGCATTGATTTCACTACGCGATCAAAGTTGGATCGATCTTTGAAGCTTTTGAGAATATGATTTTAAATTAATAAAAATGGAATTTTAAAACTAATAATTAATTAATCAAGATTAAAGATCAAGAACGCAAAGTAACAACGGTTGAATTCAAATATACAAAAAGCGTAGCTAGGGATTCAATTTTCCCAATGCTTTCCCTTTCCTATAACTGATATTCAAGATCAAGTTATCGACAATTCGTTCTAAATTAATTAAACCCTCAATCCCTTGGTAATTCAATCATTTACTTTATTAAAAACTCTAATCCCTTAGAGGTTTTTCCTATAGCAAGCATTAAGAAAAAGAATCTTAAAGTCATAAAATTCGTAAGCATATGCTTAAACCATACAAACCCTAGCAATTAATCAATCCGAATCAAGACACCAACATTCCTATTGTCATTCAAGATTCATGTGTTTATCTATGAATGATCAGTTTATAAATAAAGCTAATCTTGGAGAAACAGATTAGTTGCATAACTTGAAACATGAATATTAATTACAAGAAAGATTAAATAATGTTAGAAATTCATTGGTTTCATCTCACCCTAACTACATAAAGAAACATAGTCTATCATGTTCATAGAAACAAGAACAAGATACAAGAAATTAAAGTAAAGCATAACAGGAACACATAACTCGGTCTCCACTGCGAAGCTTTGACTGTTCTTCCACCTTCTCCGCTTTAGAATTGCTCATCTTCCTCCTCTAAGGTCTCTGACCGCCAAAGAATGATTAAAATTAACCTTAGACGTCCTTTTTTATGAAAATATTTGTGAGCCTCCAACTGGCTCGAAGCGACCTTTCAAGCAAGCAAAAACGATGTCCTCGCTGAAGCGAGCATGCCAGCGAGCAAATTTGACAACAAAAATATGGTTTCATATTTTGGGAATAACTTGAGTTATACTCGTCTAATTGATGTGATCTTGGTCTCGTTGGAAATATAAGATAAAGATCTACAACTTCTGTGCGGAACACGAGATCAAAATCCATTATCTTCAATATGAAAAATTGGCCAAAATACAGGTTCAAGAAGATTTTCACTAAATCATTGCTCCACATTTATTGCTTTAATTTCTTCTAGCTTCCGCTTGACTCCAATGCTCTGATTTAACAATTTAAGCCTGAAACAATATGTTTTTAAGTCAATATCATGTCCAAACATTAAAACTCAAGAGTCTTTTGCATTTGACAATTACACTATCTGTTTTGACCATCTCATATTTTTGACCCTAATAACATAGTGTGTTTTACACCTATCAGCTATCACGCAGGTTGAGACGGTTTCTATGCCATATGGAGTATATGGTCGAATTGGTGGTTAGAAATATAAGATGTTTATTTTATTTACTAAGATTAACATCTCACCCTTTTTGGAATTTTATTCCGAGTGCAATAACTAAGAACCAAAATCTGATTGAATAGCATGGTTATGCATTATAGGAGATTGCATTTGAATTTTTTGCTCTTGCAGTGTTTTGTAATTCTATATTATGTTAACTTTGTTCTAAGGAGGGATCCAAGGTTATTGTGATTAAAGCTACGACTAAAACTCCAATTAAAGTTTATTTTAAGCAAAATGTGTTGTCATTGTTCTGAGCGCTTGAGCTATATAAGTGTAAAACACTAGAGTTGACATAAGGTGTTAAATATACCCTTATTTTTTTTTAATCGTTTCATCCTTATACTTTTTTCTATCTAATATTAGAAACCCTCCTTAACAATATTAGAAACTTAAGCAATGTATATATTTTACTCTTTTTACAAAAATACACTCCAGCTACCTTGTGTGTTATTTTCTTCCCCAAGTAGATATAGTACCTTACTCATTCCTGGTGAAAATTTTATTCTTTTATGGGTTTTATCTTATCTTGTTACATGAAAAGCATCTTCTTATGTCATAGAGAGAAAAAGTCATGTGGGACTCATATTAAAAAAAAAAAAAACAGCATGGTAATCGAGTAATGTGTAGGAAAATTTTCTCTAATCATATTAGATGAGAAGTTATTTGCCCTTGTTTTAAATACAGAAATCTAATGCTTTGCTCTCTATCATTTAACAAATAAAAATGATTGCTTCGATTCCCTCCACAATATTTTTTCTCTACTTGAGAAATATTATATTTAGCCTTATAATATCTACTATGCCGTCTGTTTCAATATGATAAACTCGATTCTAGATATTTTTCTTTCAATAATTCCTTTTATTATGCTTTGGCACGTTTTTTTTTTCAAGAGGCGGCATATAACTTCTTTAACTTTTACCTCTATTTACAGAGTAAAACATTGGGTTCTGGTGGGGCCTCATCTGTTCAGGTATATTGCTTGCTCATTTTTATTGCCTTTTCGGCAGTTAATTTTTCTTTCTTTTTCCTCTCTGTTTTTGCTAGTGATTATGCGTGTGACAACAGCCTTGCTAACAACCCTCCTACAACTGTACCAACATCAAATTCCACACTGCTCCTGAACCTCCGGTACAAACTCAGTGAATCTATCTTAAAAATGTTTTTGATCTAAGATTAATTTTATATGGACTGAATTTTCTACTTAATTATTTTATTTGGTTTCAAGGCAGCAAACAACAGTACATCTGGCAAAGACTCCACAACTACAAAGTATAAATTCTGTCTATATTTCTGTTAAGATATTGTTAATAAATTCTAACTATATTTTTATTCAGGATACCAAAATGTACTCCCTTCAAATCAGGTCTGCAAACAACAGTACATCTGGCACAGACTCCGCAACTACAAAGTATAGTTTTTATCTCTACATTTCTCTTAAGATATTGTTAATATATTCTAACGAATTTTTATTCAGGATACCAAAATGTACTCCCCTAAAATGTTACTGATGGAGGACTGCTGACAAGAAGATATCCTTTTGATCTCCAGTGAATTTTTGTAAAAATGGTAAAATAGACATATTAATTAAATTTCTAATACTGTTAAAAAGAGACTTGAATGAAACAAAAATAGGAATATATATATATATATAGGGGTGTAAATGATTCAAAAACAAACCATAGGAATATTTGAACTTTTTTATTTTAAAAATAAATAAATAAAAGACGAAAGAGACTATATTGGCCAAAATACATAATTTGAATCATACAAATGAATGTTATGTACAAGGTCTAAAACTCAGCCGAGCCGGGCGTTCGAGGAAAAGGAATCACGTCCCTTATATTATCCATTCCTGTAGCAAATTGGACGAGTCTTTCAAAGCCCAAACCAAAGCCTGCATGAGGCACTGCCCTCAAGACACAGTATCAAAGTCACTATCATGAGTTGAAAGTATAAAGAGTAAACTGTTAAATTGATATTTAGAGTCACTAGTACTTTAAAGATATTTGTTAATAAATTAATCTCTTATTTAAAAGTTCATTATATTCTTTGCATATATGCGGCACTCAGGCAACAAGTTCTGCCATGACAATATTGTAGGGGATTTGGAAAATGGGGTAGTAAAAAATGCAATCTCTTATTTTAAAATTGTTAAATACGAACTCTCAAACAGTATGGTTCATAATTTGACTATGGAGAACTTAAGGAAAGAGGCTTAAAGAGAAAAGACATCTGACCTGAACCATAACGACGCAGATCAAGATACCACCAATATGCATCCTTATTCAGCTTTAAATCATCTAAACGAGCTTCTAGATACTCAAGTCGTTCTTCTCTTTGACTTCCGCCAATAAGTTCGCCAATCTAACATGGAGATAATAAATCATGAGGACATGAACATAGTTGCTAGTCCAAAAATGAAAACATATTACTGGTATAAAAAGTCACAACCCTTCACCAGCCCATGATCATTAACCTGAATACTTCAGAAGAACTCCCATGTTATCCCACCCAGCTAAGCATCCAGGCCCAAGCTTTGTAACATTATTCTTACACAAGGTAGGTCCTTTTTTTTTTGTAAGTATAACCAAGCTAAACCACTACTCTTTTGGATAGTGCTGAGAATTTGCTATTTACAAACACTACTTTATGGTAATAATAGAGCAAAAGAGATATCTTATAAATTACCCTTGGAACCAGCATGTCCATGGCTGCAACTGTCCTTCCATCATCATTCTGTCGCATATAGAATGCCTTAATATCCTGAAAATGTTAAATCCAACAACTTCAGTACTTTTGGTTCATCTCTCTCTCTCTCTCTATATATATATATACATATATATATATATGAAGCATATCAAAAGTGAGAGGAGTGTCTTATTATAAGAGCAAAAAACAAAACCATTGGATCATATCATGTGACTTGTAAGTGGCCATGTGTGATTTTTAAGTAACTTCTACAAAACATAGAAGTGAAAAGATGACAAAACAAAAGGCGAATTAGCATTTTATTCCTTTTATTTTTTATATTTTTTGAAAAAAGGAGGAAAAAAATAGAAACTTCTTTTTTGGTGGGGAGGGCATAAAGGTGAGAGCATAAGAAAATAGTCTGGACGAATGTTACTTCTACTCTATTTCCTCATTCATATCTCTCAAACTTTGAGAATTTTTCATCTTGCTTCCAAGGACAAAATTTCTTATTCTTTCCTTTACATTGTCATCCATTTTAAAAATATTTACAATCAATCCTCTATTGTTTTCAATATACTATGAAATGAACAGAGTGGTGTCCAGAAAATAAAGGGGGGAAGTAACATGCCTTTGGGTAGTCTCTGATTATAACAGGGCATCCACCAAATACCTCTTCAGTTATATAACGCTCATGTTCACTCTGGAGATCACAACCCCATTTCACCTATGGAAACAAGCAGAGACATAACTCAAATAGAAACAACTTGAAATCACCTTATAATATAAACTTGAAAGCACCTAATAATATAAAATTGTAAAGCTAATGCAACAATGACCACCAAGCATTGTGTCACTAAATGGGGCTGGCCAGTGTTCTCAAAATCGAGTTTTAAATGGTAGGATCGCACAATCCTACGGTTTTATGCCTCCAACCGATCATCGCACCTAGGATCGCAATTGTTGCAAGATCGGTGGGATCTTTCGATAAGAAAAAAACATAGGACTCATTTATCTTACCCACGACCCGAAATTCATCAAAAACTGTAATCCCTCTTCTTCATCTGATTTGTGCCAAAGGACTTCTCCATTTGGACTAGCAACTGCTGGCTGTGGCAATTAAGATCAGGTTATGCGACGGTAGTTGGCTTAGCTGCGACAAAAAAAGCAAGACCTCTTCGACGTTTGTGCGAACAAGACCTCTGCAACGGGCAACGGTGGTTGGCTACAAGTTGCTATGGTGCTTTGCTTGATATCTGCAACGGTGATATGTAGATCTTGTGATGAAATAGGACTTGCTTTTTTTTATAACAGGATTTATGGTTTTGCCTTGAATAGCTCGGTAGTGAAAAGTTGTTAATATAAAAAGTGTTGGAATAGAATCAACAATTAGTTTTTGGTTCAGGTTTGGAGAATGTATGCACTTTATATATGTGTTGAGTCCAAGTATGTGGTATGCATTTACTGAAAGTAAATATGCCGCTTGTGTCATGCATATTATGAGATATTTTGAATGTGTGTAAATAATGTTAACTATATTTAGAAAAAAATTCGAATGTCAGCAAGTGTAAATTTCTAATATAAATATCGTGATACTATTTGACATACATATTATCATATATCTTGTTAATTATGCTTTTCTCATTGTAGTACTGAAATTTGGGGAAATAAAAGTTCTTAAGTTGTAGTCGATATATTAATTTTGCTATTTATTAAGTATGGCATCAAGTGGTGGTGTTGGTAGTAGCAATGTTGAAGCTCTTCGGGCCTCTAGTTCAGGAAATCGATTGCACAAAAATATTGCTGGGAATAGATCAACGATGATGATCAACGACGGTGCAAACCGTTTGCCAAAACGAAGGGTAGCAACACACAAAACACCAAAGATCGTGGGACTGCAACTCAGTCTTTGCGCGGTGGTGCAATAAAAGTGACGTACGACGGCGAGCAACAGGGAGCAAGATTCCGGCGACTTACATCGAAGGAGAAGTCAGAAAGAGCGAGACAAGGGTGGAAGGAGACGTATGGGTGGATCGTTTGTGGAGGAGAGTTATCATGCACGTGTGACCATTTTCTACAGCGAGGCCCCAAATAGTTTTGAGATGCAGGCCAATAGATGCAAAAGTATTGGGCTAGGCTTGTTAGGAAGTGTTGGGCAATGGGGAATTAACACAAATGGTCCAAGAAGTATTAATGGGTTGGGTCGTGGGCTTGACACTTGGCCGGCATGGACAAATCAAGCCCAAACAAATTTTGTTTCACGGCCCAATTTAAGTAACAGTTATGGGCAAACTGGATCTAATGGGTCAATCACAGATAGTGTTGTTCTCATGGTTGCTTGGGCTTCCAGAGTGAAAAACCAAGATGCTGGTGTTGTAAGGATGTTGGGTGATCCAAAAGAGGCAAGGGCTGGTACCCAATGTTGTTAAAACGTAGAGTCTACGTAGAAACGGTAGGGATGAACAAAAACGTAAAATCAGAAAACGTAAACGAAACGTAAGAGTTAACTCGGCGTTTCAACCGTTTCAGCCCAAATTCCGTTTCAACCATCGTTTTGACACGTTTTTAGACAAGAAGACGTAAAACGGACGTTTTTACGAGTTGGAACGACGTTTTAACAACCATGTTGGTACCTTCCATCCAAGTACTGTTTTGACTTATATAAATAATGAATTTAAAATGCATCGCGTCAGCAAAGGTGCACCAGAGCAGATTTTGAACGTTGCGCACAATAAATCAGGAATGGAACGAAGAGTTCATGCTGTCAGGGATAAGTTTGCAGAGCACGGCTTACAGTCTCTTGCGGTATCCTACCAGGAAGTTCTTGATGGAAGGAAAGGAAGCCAAAGAGGGCCTTGGCAATTTATTGGACTCATGCCTTTGTTTGATCCAATGAGACATGATAGTGCAGAGACAGTACGAAGAGCATTAAATCTCAGAGTAAATGTTAAAAAGATAACAAGGGGGTGGAGGAGGCGCTGGGATATGCATGGCTTGCAAATTTTGGGAAGAAAACAAGAATTTTGATGGACAGTTGGGCATCCCATAGTTTTATGGCCAGTCTTATGGTTCAAAAACTGAAGCTGTTAATTGGGTCGAGAGGCTTCAAACAATGGAATCCGGGTGGCAGTTCTATCACATCACTTGTCTTCTTCCTTCACCTCGAGGACAAGGTGAGTTTTGGAAGGGGAGTATTGATGGGCCATAGGCCTAAAAGTTAGTGGATTAGTTAGTTTGTTGTGGAAACTATTCTAGAATATTCCAAAGTATAGAATAAAAGGTAGACGGTGTATGCATGAATTCATTATTGGCTTATGGGGAAATTGGGGATCTCTGGGAGTTGAGATTTCTAGGTTTATTTTCTACATTTTATCTTGTAAGGAGCTTAACTCCATTTATGTTTTCTGCAATTTCAAATTTATAAAAGTAGGTTCCATCATACCCTTCCATTCATCGGAATTGAATATTCTTTATTAGTGGAAGTTTGTTCTCATGGAAGTATCCTTAAGCCAAGTAACGTGGCAAAGCGAGTCATGACTAGTCTAACCAAATCTTTGTTTTTGGTGAAGCTTTTCAATAATGAAATGAAAGAAGTCCTTGAATAGATATAAGTAGTAATTTTTTTCCCTTAGGAATTGTTTATTGGAGAACCGGTATCTTCTTCTCTAAGTCCTCCAACAAGAAGTTACCGCAATGTGTTGCACAATATGCCCAATACAACCTTTTTCTTCACTCCATCAACAAATCTCATGTAGTATTGTTAGTCACAACTTGGACAACATTGTCTTCACCAATCTCCTCAACCATTTCATCAACCATATTAAAAATTTTGTCTGTTATTTTGGTGATGTGAGATGCATCAATGAACTTAAGGAACACAGTTCACAAAGCTATTCATATAGAAATTTAAAATTGTTTTCCTTCTTTTATCAGTCCACCCATCAGTCATTATTCTGCATCCCATTTTCTTCCATTGAGCCTTGTGTTCTTCAATAGTTGCCAATGTCATATCATATTGATGCTTCCATTATTTGACTCCGCTCATGTAGAATGATTGCTTGAAACTCAATCCATATCTTGAAATAGATTCACACACCTTGAATTCATCATTATTTAACACATTAAAAGGAATGACATTGTGTATAAAAGAACATATGTCAAGACATAGTAATTGATATACTTTTCTTGAAAATACTACATCCACCTTCATCCCCTTCTCTTGTTTCAATTTCACTACTAGCCTCGTCTTCTTGGGTAATAGTATTAGATTTTTTTTCTAATAATTTTTCTTGCAATCCGGCGACAATATCCAACATTTCTTTCTTTACTTCTTTGGGCACCACTCTAAATGCTCCAACATCCTTTTGTGTTCCCACCACATAATGTTTCAGTCGATAAATACCTTTGATCACTATCTTCACACAATATTTGCACTTAACTTCTTTTACATCTCCCTCATTTGGAAAGCCATGTTTACATATAACATTTCATTTATTCCCAGTAGTATTTTTGTGCAATCGATTTCTTGAACTAGAGGTAGGAAAGTTTCAATATTGCTACTACCAATAACACCAGTTGAAGCCATACTTTATAAATAGCAAAACCAATATATTAACTAAAACCTAAGCTTTTATTTCCCAAGTTTTAGTATAACAAGAACTGCAATGAGCAAAGCACAATTCTCAAGCTATATGATAATATGTATGTCAAATAGTATGATAATATCTATATTAGAAATTTTCACACTTTTTTATGAAAAAAAACTCTAAATATGATAAACATTATCTATACACACATTCCAAAATATCTCATAATTTGTATGTCAAAACAATATGACATATGTCCGGCATATTTGATTCCAGTAAATACATGCCACATATTAGGACTCCACACACATATGAAATGCATATATTCCCTAAACCTGAACCAAAAACAAATCATTGAGCCTATCCCAACACTTCCTATATCAACAGGCTAGACCAGAAATCCAATTATCAAAGCAAAGCAACTAAGCATTTCATCACAAAAATCTACATACCACTGTTGCATATGTCAAGCAAAGCACCAGAGCAACTCACAGCCACACACACAACCAACCACAATTGCAAAGGTCTTGCCATCATCCTAGTCGCAGCCACGCACGCAGCTAAGACAACAACCGTCTCACGACCTACTCTTAGTCAGCAACCAGCAATTGCAATTGCAAGTCATACGTCAAATGGAGAAGTGAAAGGCAGAGATCAAATGGAGAAAAGGGATTAAGGTTCTCGAACGTGTTGTGAATGAAATCTTGGATCGTGGGTAAGGTAAATGGGTCATGGGTTTTGGATTTTTTATTGATCAAAAAACATGGTAGGATGGCACGATCCCACCGATCATGCAAGAATTGCGATCCTAAATGCAATTTGGATCAATTGAAAGCAAAAAAAATCATATGATCATGCAACCCTACAATTTAAAGCTCAATTTTGACGACACTGGTTACAAGACATCCTCTGGTTCAATGGACGCTAAAGCTCTTTCATTTTACGTTCAATGTATAACTCAAGCAGAAACCTAGTTAACATCATGTGCCTCAAGCTGCATACTCTCATCAAGAATATGTGAAAGCATAATAGTAAGAGCTCATGCAATAAGTCATAATAAATATTTAAAATTTAACATACCATAATAATTTTGTTAAAAAAAAGTAGTGATTTTGATTGTGCACAATCTTCATGACAAACTTCTCTAAATGATTACCATTTCCTTTGCTATCTGTCATTATTACTTGTGATCTAGAGTGCAATACAGACTATTCTCATGCAGTTAAGGAGGTTCGAGGCAATGAACAAATGCAAAAAGATGAGATTATAAAAACCAATAAACAAAAGTAACTACACGTTGAACATGTTATTGCATATGAAAAAAAAAAAAATTGATTAATGAGTTACCGGAAATTCAAATTTCTTATTTGCTCGTGACAGTAGATCTATTGCTTCCGTGTAGGTTATTTGCACAACGTCTTTATCTGCTACATCCTTTTCATAATGACAACAATAATACAAAGATAAAAGAGCTTACTGGTGATTAGAATTAACATGTGCAGTTATAAATCAGATGAAGGACAGCAATATGATGGTTACACTGAGAGCTCATACACTCAAGCGATCAATGATTCCCTTATCAATCCATGTATCAAAAAACTCCATGTCTTCTTTGCAATTATTGAGAACATATCTTATCTTCAAGAAAAAATACACGCACAAGCTTTAATATGAAGAAATAACATAAAAATGAGCTTTCAAAATGATGTAAAGACCATGGCAACTTTTTAGCAGTTGTGGAAGGTAACATACCACAAACTGGAGATAGGCAGTTGCACAAGCCATGTCATCATTTAGATCAGCAAATGCAAGCTCCGGTTCAATCATCTGAATAAACAATAAGATACCTCTCCTTTGATTCTTGTTCCATTTCAAATGTATAACAATAACTATTAAGAAAGACTCAGACGCTCAGAAACAAAAATGAATGTATACTCTGATTTCCTATTTATTCAAATGAACACAAGAAAAACAGAAATCACTGACCCAAAATTCAGCCAAGTGCCTAGAAGTGTTAGAATTTTCTGCTCGGAATGTGGGACCAAATGTATACACCTTCATTGGGACAAGATTTAAAGTTTATTTCCATTGCCAATTCTAAAATACTAGATATTAAAGAAAGACGGAAACAACTACAAAAATTTAAAAAGATAAAGAGTGAGAGGGAGAGGTGACATATGTACATCAGAAAGAGCAGTAGCATAAGTTTCAGCATTGAGTTGACCGGAAACAGTCAAGAATGCTGGTTTTCCAAAAAAGTCCTGATGCACAGAATGGTTCAAATTAGAATATGCGCAATAACCACATTGCACACTTACTGAATACTGACAACTGATATCAAAAGAGTAGGGGTATGAATCTGACTCACTTGTGACCAGTCAATTAATCTGTCATTCAATTTTGGAATAGCATCAACAGGAGAATCAGCAGCTTCTTGAGAACTTGGTATCTGTAAATTGAACAGAGAAAAATCTAAAACTAAATGCATAATAAGACGAGAAATCAGTGCTAGTAATTATGACGGGCTTGTAACACTATCCTTGCACCATTTTTTAATTATGGAAACTAGCCTCCTTTGTTGGGGGAAGAAATTTATCAAAGGGAAGCTATGAGTAGTGAGTAAACAAAGCAATAAACACTGCATGAGCCATGTAGAATTTAAAGATACAGTTAACAAAAAATATAAGAACAAGGAATTCAAATAAATGCTAACTGCATAAGATTTGTTGATCTTGAATTCTTTCAAATTATCGACAATATTTCCCAGAAAAGAGCAACTACATCAAAGAAAACATTGGGAAAAACCATTAAAAAAGGCCTTGCTCTAAATATTTTTACTAAAGATTTTATTTTCAACAAAGTTCAATGACATTGATTGATCCATATAGCTGATCCCACATATTGAGATAAGACTTGGCTGTTGTTGCTGTAGTTATAAATTAATTATAATCAACCACTGTTTCTCAAAAATCCAAAGAGCAGCATCGACATAGATCCTCTTCTGCTCCAAAATACGAGCTAAAACCAAACTCTCTTCTGCTCATAGCCTAAAGTAAAGGATGATGTTACATCCTATTCTAAGAGTTTAGTTTTCTCTACTGTGAATTACGTGGGTATTTTATCGTATATTTCATCGTAATTTGGAATGGAGGACTGCTTCACCCTCAAGCAGGGTTTTGTAACAAAATTCCTACTCATGAGATTTTTCGGTCGGGTGGGAAAGAGGAGTGGAGAACTGTGTCCTTGATTGTTCAAAATGCATCAATAACATGGAATTTAATATAAAAAAAATATTCATATAAAGAGGAAGTATCTCATGGAACTGTGAATACCAAGGTAGTAACACAAAATTGTTCACCCGCTCCCTCACAATCCGAAGCTGTGATAATAGGACTTGAGACCCAGACAAACCCATTTTCTTGGAAGAACTTGTGTGTGGCATAGGCGAGTGCATTCCTAACCCTAGCAACCTGAAATCATTTTGCACCACAAAAAGAAGATGATGATATTTAAAACAAAAATACAGTTATTTCCTTAGAGAAAATAGCAACAAAACTTACATTGATCAATCCCTTGTCAGAATTTTATGCATAAAGAAGTACATCAAAATATCATATGTAATAAAAAATAGAGGGAAGGAAACAAACAGCAGCAAAAAATTCATTGCCAAAGCATGCCTATATGAATATGTTGCACACATAGAAAAATAATGGAAATAGAAGAAGCTACAAAGTAGCTGTACTGGATTTAATTGATAAGCTCATATTTCAAAATTCATTGATGGTTAGTTTTAAGCACATATACCAATACCAAGAACTCCTGCTAGCTGAAGAGATACTTGCAGCAGAACAAAAATAACCTCCATGGGAGTAATTTCAGATTGAAACCAAACCTGTTTCTACTTGTTTTCTCAGATTATTTATCCATGATAAGTATGTCCACACAAATTAAATTTTGTTCACCTACATGAAATTTATTTACCAAATCTGTCACAGTAAATTGAGTTTACATGACCAATCAAAACTCTAAAACTAGTTAGTTCTAACTCGGATTTCTTGAACTCCATATGAAGCATGCAATTCACACCAGTCACATCCCACCAATAATTTAACGCATCAAATTTGGTAGAAAGGTTATTGAATCGCAATTCAAGTCATGTATCACTAAGCTATTTTTTGAATCGAGAATCGTAAATCGTATTTGTATCAAATCGTAAAATTCAAAGACACAATAAAAAACAGTTTAAAATATATCATGTACATGATGTATAATACACAATGTAACAATTTCAATTAGGAACTAGAATTTGACAAACTAACTTAACCATAAGTCTCGAAAAACAAAATCATGACATAAACCATAACTGAATCACATAAAGTGATTACATGAAGCTTATGTTTCAAAAGAAGAAGAAAAATATAGCAATGACATAGCCAAATAATGTGCATATAGACCGAGAGAGTGACCGTATAAAGCTTCTATTTCAAAAGAATGAAAACATAGCAATGGAATATCCAAATAGGATGATGCATAGAGTGAGTTAGCATGTGAAGCCCATATTTCCGAGGAATGAAAACATAATAATGAAATAATCAAATGGGGTGAATTTAATGGTGTTCCTTGTCCATTTTGATTTAACAACTTACGCTTATTTGACTTTTTAATTTCTTTTACCGGAATTGGTGAAAGAAAAAAATGAACGAACTATTGAATCATATGATCCATATCACTGATACGGAATCGAATTGATTCATGCTTGTATGTACGATTCAAAGCCATCTCCGATTCATCACATGATATGAACCGCTGGCTTGGCATATCACATCGGATCGTAAGATTCGACTCGCAAATCGTACAACTTCTATAAAAATATTTTGGAGATGCTTATTCCCCCATTTTTGCTCCTAAGGAAATTCTTCATCATGAATGACAAGAAACCAGCTGCATATTCAATATTTCAATCATCTAGAAATTAGCATCACATAATATAATAGGATGGATGAAAAACAATAATAAATTAGTAGAATTTCAAGACAGATCAAAAAATTATTGGGCCTTGGTGTCACATAACAATCATCCTTTTTGCATAATGAAGCAGAGGGCTAAGCAGGCTAGGCATAAATATGCTAAGAAAGAAAACAGAAACCATACTGCACCAAAAGTATTTGTCCTCGGACGTAGATGTGCTTTTGTTCTTAGAAATTCTCTGCTGGCTCTTTTCTTTTGGATGGGAAAGGAGGGGTCACTCTTGCCGATCTGAACATGTAAGACCAAAGTTTCGAATGAAATTGCCAGCTTGAAGTTAAAGATTTAATTGAAACAAATTGTGAACATGCAATGAGTCTGTCTAATGACAGAGAAAAAATAAAATCAAGTATAATCATTTGTAGCACCACTGCTACTTTCAGTTAGGAAGCCATTGCCATGGCAAATGGTTGTCTTTGTCATGCCTTTCACATTAATGCAACCAAAAACCAAGTAGGAGCATGATGGAATATAAAAGAAAGTTAGAGATTTAAATCACATTTTAAACTTAGGGCTCAGATTCAATGACTAAATCATGTATTCATGAATTATTATCAAGTCATTGGTTTAAAATAGAGCTTAAAGCAAATATTTTCATTAACGGTGCCAAAAGACCAGAGCAAGATCTTTCTCAAGCACGTAGCCAAATGTGACTGTCAGCACTTACAAACATGCACATCAAGATGTTAAAAATGTGGAAATAAAAAATAGTAGACACAGTGCCAAAATATTCTAGGGTAGAGGTCTATGCAACATTATGATGGGAATGTATAGGAAAATAACAATGGGGAAACAAAGTTAAAATGGATAAAGTCTTGAAGAAATTCACGAAGCAACCAGAATAAAGTGCAGATATCTTATAAGAGAACAAAATGGTGAGACCATGTTTCATTAAGAATGAAGGAGAACTAACCAGTACTATTTTGTTGACCTTCAATTCCACATTTTGTTTAGAGCCTTGGCTCTTCACCACAACTCCTTGCACCCATATAGACGCACCAGTAGTAATCAAGCCAGATTCTACCTAATAATAAGCTACAGAACTTGAAGACAGACAGACAAATAAAAAGCTACAAATGCATGACCAGAAATTCCTTCGTATAACAACAAGATAGCAAAAATAAACACACCTGATCATAGCCTTCAACCTCCGAGTCCATCACACATTGCATGTTAGAAAGGCACGAACCATCATTAACCTAGACACAATAAACAAATTACTCAATCAGTAACATAGTTATCAAATGCGGGCCATCCCCGAAAAAACGCTATAGCATTACAGCGGGTTGCGATTGCGGAAATAGCGAAATAGATATATGACAGAAATAATGACAAAAAGAAACATTTCTTAAAAAACAGAAATAGCATAAGTGAGAGAGAGAGACACCAATAGACTAAAAAACCCTTATAATTTTTCTGTTACACATTTAAATTTAGGACAAGATAGACATTTTGCCGCCTTATGAGAGCAATATGGCCTCAATTTGGCCGCAAATGCGATAGCAATGGCCGCTGTTGGATTCCGGTGTGGTTTCTTGCCGAGAGGCACCGCAACCCCCATAAGGCGGGGCTTGCTGTACTATTAACTACTATGATCAGTAATACATATTAACTGCCATAAAAGCATGAATTGAAATGCACATTTGCCTAATAGCTAGGCAAACCCTCACCAATTCGATATGAATAGAATGAAAGAGGGCGAGCTGACCTCAATGAAGGTGACGCTACTCTGAAGGCGAAGAGTGCGAACCCAGCCTTTGAGGACGAGGTTGTGGCCGAGCAAGTCGAGGCCTTCGCCTTTAACATCGGCAACCCTAAGCTTCTTGCGGAATTCACCTACTTTTTCGGCGGAGCGAAGTGTTGCGGCGGCGCAGAAGCAGCGGCGTGAGGAGAAAGGAGAAGGTCGGAGAAAGAGAGGTTTAGGTGTGGCGTAGAGTGACAAATAAACAAGTGCTGATGCATAAGGTTTTACAAAACGGAGGTTCCTAGTTGCTATTGCTATTGCCGCACCAACGCCAACGCTACCCATTTGGTTCGTTTCCGATGCAGTGGCGCTGTTGCTCACCACACCCTATTCACTTGTGGACAAGTCTTATATCCGTTGAGTTCCGCACCTTAAACTAACGCTCCTGGTACTTGTGGAATCTCTCTGTTCTGTCTTTTATCTTTTCTTTCTTTTTTTTCTTTTTAATCTTTTATAGGGTTTAGTTTAGCACTTTACACATAAGTGCCAAAAAAACGCAAGCAATGAAAAAATTATAGAAAAAGTGAATTTTTTTTAATTTTAAATTTTAAATAAAAAATTTTAAGTTGTATCTTTCTCTCACTCAAAATAATATAACTCTACGTTCTTTAAAAGAATAAATTTTAAGTTATACCATATTATTTTTAATACATATTTTTTAGAGTAAAATATTTTTTAGATCCTCAACAAATATTACAGGGCCTAATTAATCTCTTATAAAAAAGTCGACTCATGGTCGATCTAGAATTTAAAATAGACATATGTTAGCCCTTTTGAAGAACTAACGTAGATCTTTTTTGATTTTCAGAAAGACCATGATTTTGACTAACTATATCTATTTTGAATTTAAGAAGGAAAATAAGTTGACTTTTTTTTTTAAGAAATTAAAAATGCGCCTCGAGATTTTTGTTAAGGACTCAAAAAGTACTTCACTTTATCTTTTATATAATATTTGATTAAAAGTGTTAAATATATTAAGGTCCAATGAAATATTTTAAATGTGTTTTATTAATATAAATAAAATGAAAATATAATATATATAAATATATATATATATATATATATTTGTGCTCCCCTTCTTTTTAAATTTTTGGTTTAAATTTAAGAAATTCTCTCATATTATCACGTGTAAATTTCTTGAACTTTATATTTATTAAAGTAAACACCATTTTTGGTCCCTAACAAAAACACGGTCCCCACTTTAGTCCCTTACAAAAATAAATTAGTCAGTTAGTCCCTAACAAATTCAAAGTAGACCCATTTTAGTCCTTTTGAGGAACTAATATGGGTCTTTTTTGAATTTGTGAGGGCACGATTTCAACTAAATGGGTCCACTTTGAATTTGTTAGGGACTAACTGACTAATTTATTTTTGTAAGGGACTAAAGTGGGGACCGTATTTTTTGTTAGGGACCAAAAAGGGTATTTACTTTGTTTATTAATAAACTCCAATTCATCAAATTGTAATATTGATTCTTTACTATATATTTTATTTGTTATGCTTTTAGTATATATACGGATCAGTTATGTGAATAGCATATAATAAGTTATTATATATTATTTGTGGAACCAATGCACTCTACGTAAAGATTATAAAAGTTCAACGATTTTGATGATAACAAACAAGCATGAAAGGAAGGCTTCAAGTTGCAACAATAAAAAAGAAACAAACATCCAACAATCATGAAGTCCTTCAAGATTCAAGCTTCAAGAGAAGAATCTAAGTCCAAGAATTATCAAGTAATATACTTTAGGACTTATAATTAATTGTGAGGGTAACTGACTTCTTTCATGAATAAACTCAAACGTATTTTTTTATAAAATACATGCATTAAATTACCATTTGATTACACAGAGGATTTATAACATTACGCTTTCATATAAACATGTTTGAAAAGGTTTTAGAATATTTTTAAACGTATTTCCAACCTTTTTAAAAGGTTGGGAATCGATTCTCTGTGATAAGGAATCGATTCCCTCTCAACTGAAAGGTTGAGAATCGATTCCACTCATAAGGAATCGATTCCTACTACACCAGAGGACGAAAATAACGGCTATAAACGGCTAGTTTTGCGAGAATGAGTGTGCAAAGGGTCATGGGGGGCCTCTATAAATAGTGACCACTATTCCCCTTGATGGGACACACCTCTTGATCATAATCCTTGCTTTATTTCACATCATTTGCTTACTTTCTATCATCTTGATCATAAATCATTCTTGAGCTTTATTCTTGTGAGAGTGTCAACACCCATAGTTCTTCAACTTGTATTATTTGTACTTTGAGAGTAGTTAGCTATTGCTTAAACACCTCCATTTGATTTATTGAATAGTCAGGGGAGTGAACCCTATACACTTGAAAGGTCACCAAATTCCTAAGAAAATTTGGAGTGAAAAAGTGTAAGGCATCAAGAGCCTGAAGTCTTAAAAAGTTGTAGTGGCTTGTCAAACACTCTCAAGCTTGATAGCTAGTGAAAAGAATTGATCGAGCGGCTTCAGTCTCGACGTAGGTCACAGTGGCGGTGACCGAACCAGGATAGATTTAGTTTGCAATTTCTCTAACCTTAATCTCTTTATTTAAGTATTAAAATTGTATTTTAGATTGTCTTTATATCTTCGCTTGCTTACTTTGTTGATTACTACACTTGCTCTTACACTTAGATTTTCCTTATTAAATCACTTGTTTGAAGAAATAATATCGTATCCGTTGAGTTCAGCACCCTAAACTAACACTCCTGGTACTTGTGGAATCTATCTGTTTTGTCTTTTTTTTTTAATCTTTTATATTATTATTTTTTTAATACATATTGGGAAGGATATTGTAACAACCAATTAGTATTACTATTAATGTTATTACCAATCAATTTCATCGTTAGATTGATTATGTTGATTTAATGATTATATTTATTTCTATCTTTGTATGATTATGATTCCTCATTTTAATACTTTATATTTATTTTTATCTTTATTTGGTTATAATTTCTCATAGTATTAAATATGAGAAATTATTTTTGTATTAAATATAAAAAATTATAACTATACAAAGATAAAAATAAATATAATTGTTAGATCAATATAATCAATCTAACGATAAAATTAATTGATGATAATAATAATAACACTAATTAACAGTGACAAGTTTATTGATTAAAAGTGTTAAATATATTAAGGTCCTATGAAATATAATTATAGGGTTTAAATTTTCTTCTGCGACATAAATGTTTTCAACTCTCTTACTGACACTTCAAAGTGTGTGTTTTTCTTCTTCTTTACAAAGAATGAACTCCACCATTTTTCTATCAGCAGGAAAATCAACGATCTCTCGTGTGAAAGGAGAGATATAAAACCCATAATTATATTGAGGGGTTGCACATTCCCCCGTAACGCAAGACGAAAACTTTTCCGGCATATACACTGAAGTGGGTCCCATTGGTTTTTTAAAAAATGAAAAAATAATGAAGTGTTGGCACGAAAATCAACCTATCACTAGCGGGAGAACAAGATTTTCTTATAACAGGATAACTATTTTTCCCTTATATTTATGTTTGAAATTTAATAAGTATATGATTCAATTTATTATAATATTATTTATAATAATAATTTTCTGTTTACAACGTTAAAATATTCATACATAATATTTATAAGCATATTGACATATTTGAAATTGGTTTTATTAATATAAATAAATTGAATATATATATATATATATGTGTGCCCGCTTCCCTCCTTTTTAAATTTTTGGTTAAAATTTAAGAAATTCTTCATATTATCACGTGTAAATTTCTGAACTTTAAATTTATTAAATAAACTCCCATTCATCAAAATGTAATATATACGGATTCTTTACTATATATTTTATTTGTTATGCTTAAAAAAGTATTTGTCATTTTTTTTTATATACAAGTATTTATCATTTTAAATGACATAAAGTTATGTCATTTTAAGAAATAGATAAACACATAAAAATATTTTTTTATCTAAAATTTAAATTAAAAAAATCACTCACTTTCTTTCTCATGATTTTCATTTTTTGTGTCTATCTCTCTTAAAATGACATAACTTATGTCATTTAAAATGACAAATACCAAATCTTTAGTGTATATATATATATATATATATATAGCATATAATAAGTTATTATATTATTTTTATTTAATGTTTGGCGAGCTAACGAAATAGTATAAATTATTTTATAGTTTTTAATATATTTTATTTAACATTATGATTTTTAGATATATTTTTATAATTTATAATTGGAACCAAAGGAGAAAAAAAATTAAAATTAAAATTATGAGAAAAAAATATTTGGAAAAAAAATCTAATATTATGTTATTTTATTTATTTATATCATTTCCCAACACTAATTAAATTTTCTTCAAATATAAAATAACATATCATATCACATTGCTTATTCATTGAACATTGGAATAGAATATAAGTTTATCATACCTTTATCTTTTCTTATCTTTATCGGTGCCAAACAACTCTACTTGTTTAGCGAATCAAAATTTTATGATGAGATTTTGGGTACATGATCAACCACCAAAGTGAATTAAGAAAATTTAAATAAGTAAATATAAAATATTTTTCATGTTTCTATATAATAAATATTTTATTTTTTAAAAACATTTTTTATTTCATTGAGTAATATTCAAAACTTTGGCTCAACCCAATTTTTAGATAATTTTTAAAGGTGAGACGAAACGTCTTTCTTTTTTAATGGAAGATTAGTCTGTTTTTTTTTCAATGGCAAAGTTTAAGGCACTTACTATTTTAACAAAGAGTAACCGCGGCCATTTCTTACTTGGATTTTTTTTCGGATTTTTGAGAAATTGAAATTTTTAAAATTTTAAAATTTTAAATATTATTGTAAATTGAAGATAAAAATGATATTTTTAAAAATTAAGATTCTCGAACAAATAAAATTTTTTTCTGTACCAGATTACTCCGAACATAAAATGTCAGGAGAATATTAAAATGAGAATGCTTTCAAGTTAAAAAAATAAAAATAAATAATAATTCAGTTCTTGCGGGCAAACCCTAAAAATAATAATAATAAAGTAACTTAAAAAATTAAATAAAAAAAATTGACATAGGAAAAGAAAATAACGACAATTGGATGATAAAAGCCTGCCATTTGGGTTGTTGTTTGCTGTAAGGGTCGGACGGTGAGAACTATGGCCGACCACGACCACCCTTCTGAAGACCTCGACCAACTCCTCGACAGTATGTACTGTCTCTACGCACACACAAACATAAACTCTATCTATTGTTTTTTCTTTATCTGAGACTCTTTCATTCAATCATTTCAGGTGCCTTGGATGATTTCCAGAACTTCAACCTTAATTCTTCCCTTCCAAGGTCTCTCTCTCCTCTCTTTTTATCTCTTAATTTCTTCCGTGCATTTTTTGTTTATTTATTTCTTTTTAATTTTTTGTTATTGAATCTTCAACTTTGTTTGTGTGTTTGAAGTGGGGAACCTCCTGGGAACAAAAAGGAGTCTCCTTTGCCTTCAGGGGTTCAAGGATTGGGCATGGGGTTACCTGATTTGACAATTAAGAAGAAGGGAAAACAGAAGGTTTCTAAGGATACCCATGTCTCCGAGGCCCTCAACAAACTCAGGGAGCAAACCAAAGAGGCCGTTAAGGGCCTCGAATCTATGTCCCCACCCGGTGGTGTAGATGATTTGGGTAAGGATGCCATGATGGAGGATTGGGTCAAACAGTTTGAGGAGCTTGCTGGCTCTCAGGTAATTTGCTTCTTCTTCTTCTTCAAATGATTTGGTTCTGGTAAACTATTTGAGTTTTCAATTCTCTTATCAAAGTGCTTGGATTTTTTTTATGTTTTATATATTATATCATCAAGTTGTTAAGTGAATTTGAGTCGTGGATTTTACTGGCAGTTACTTGTGCTTTGTGTCTTCCCTAGGGGTCCTGTAAATAAGCTTAGCTTAGAACTTGGACAATGTTATATTCCATCAAGATGGAATTTGAGAATCGTGTCATTTTTGTGTTGCACTTGTAGTAATTTTTTTGTTTGCTGCTGCATCTGAGGATCATGAGCCTTAGCTTGGTTGGTATGTCCTGTATATGATAAAACTATGTGTTCAGTTAGGTACGGAGTGGTGAAGAAACAATTGTTAAGGAGATTGATTATTCCAATTTATATATATGGCCTTTATTTCCTTATGCTCTTTGTCTATTGTTAAAATTGAAAATGGGGTTACTTTTTTTCGCGTAATGACAAAATCTGAGTGATCATGATTTAAAAATCTTACCAAATGATGGTAGCTCAGTTCGCGCATGGGAGCTGAGCAGATAGGGGTGAGAGCATGTGTTCAATCCTCCCCAGTACCATCTTTTGGAGGGGTTTAAAGTCTTAATCCTGGACTCGCCCTAAACAGGATTGCCTCCCGTGAAAGATATTTGATGTTTATCCAAAAAATGATTTAGAAATCTTTGTTGGTATGATTATGATGACTTACTACATTTGGTGTTTTCTGAGTTCGGTGTCATATAAATTCAGTTATCTTCCAAGATTTTGGTATATATTTTCCAGATTAAAATCCCTGAGAAAAACTTGGTTATAATGTGAAGTATTTGCTTTTAACAGAATGAAGTGAGCTTACTTTATGCAACACCTCAGGTTCATAAATTTCATTCTTGTGGGTGTTTTGACTGAACTAAAATAGTGCTTGCATTGTGAAAGATGATAGCCAAGCAAAGCAACCATTAAAGCCTGGAAATACTGCCTTCATTAATAAATTTGGCCTCTTGTTTATCTTCTTTTAAATACGCTAATGAGGGAGAAGCAAACCAAACCAATCTAAGTTAATTTGCAAAGTTTGGCTATAAATTTTACTCTGAGGAAGCAAGTGATTAAGGCCATAAGGATATTATAACTACATACTGTGCTCTTTTGTAATTCCTCACTATGAGAATACTATATGTCGGCTTTCTTCCCTGGAATCAGTGCTAATAATATTATTAATTTTCTTAGGACATGGAATCCATTGTGGAGACCATGATGCAGCAACTTCTGTCCAAGGATATTCTTCATGAACCAATGAAGGAAATAGGAGAAAGATATCCAAAGTGGTTGGAAGAGCATAAAACCAGCTTGAGCAAAGAAGAATATGAACGGTATTCACACCAGTATGAACTGATTCGAAATCTTAATGAAGTTTACGAAAATGATCCTGGAAACTTCAACAAGATTGTTGAGCTCATGCAGAAAATGCAAGAATGTGGACAACCACCGAATGATATTGTCCAGGAGCTTGCTCCTGATTTCGATTTAGCCAGTCTTGGACAGTTGTAAGTTACCTTTCATTCTTGAAAATGCATTCTTAGGGCATATGTGGGTGTTTATCGCGCCATGTACTTGTAGCAATAATCTCTATTTACTTATTTCAAAATAAAACCCTCATTCGTGAAGAACATGCATTGATTTATTTTTAGCTCCCTAAATACTCAAATTAATGAACGCTTTGTCATAGAATTGTAAGCTTATAACTAATAGTTATATGTTGACTGTAGAGCTGCTGTTTCTATGGGTTATGCTTAATATTTCAGTTCATGTTTATGGTCGATACCAGTAGCAGCAGACCCCCAATTCATGAAAGTCTTATGTTATAAAAATAAAGACATGTCCAAGTAACCAAATGGGTCAGTCACAATAAGTTAAAGTAGTTAAATCAGTTATTGATAGCAGTTAGAACTTTAACTGAATGGTCAGAGGCAGGTTAATAAGGAGAGGGAGAAGATAGCATGTAGACAGTTAGTTCTAGGGGGAGAGACCAGGCTTTCGAATTCCTGAGAGATTAGTACTTTATACACCATTCTTTCTCTTCCTAATATGGACTCTCCACTGATCAAGAGTAAATTTTGATTTGTTCCCTCCCTTTTCTTCCTCAATTGCTCGTCCAGTTCTATTAGATACTCAGTGGTTTGGTATTAAATCATCATAAGAAAGCCATGGTCTTTTGTATCATTTACTGGGCCCTAGTCTCCAAGACCCTACTTGTGTACCAAACATTCAATATCAAAGACATGATCATCCAGTAGGCCACGCATCCCCCTCTCTCGTTAAGTGCTTTCACCACCATTGTATTTTTTTTAAAAAAAAAAAATACATGCCAGCATTCATTGTCATTTTATTCTTTTTGCTTTTCTGGAAACTAGGTCATTTTACTTGCTTCTTATTATAGTTGTCAAGCACATTCTTGTATGTGCACAGCATCAACTGATGTGAAAATTTTCTCCTGCAGATCTCCAGAAATGCTCGACTCTCAGACAAATTGTTGTATAATGTGAAGCTATTTCTTCCCTCTTACTATGTGGCTGCTGCTGGTTTACAGATTCTTAGGAACATTTGTTTTTCTCTTGTCCAATAAAATATGCGCTACAATTTTTCTTTTACTACTTATGAGGAATCGACAGTTTATAGCCTGCCTCTGTTTAAGGTTGTATGTGATCCTGAGGGCTTCTCTATTAACATTTTCTTAGAGCAATGATAAGTACAAGTTGCTAGTTGCAAACAAAATTTGCTTGCTCGAGATCCTTGAATTTGATGTCCATCATGAATCATGATGAGCTATTTGCAAGACTGAAAATCACAAATTCCTTAGGTATGGATTGAATTGCAGTAATTGTGTCGTTTGTTTTAGCTATATTCGTCACCTTGAACTTTTGACGCTTGGAGGTATTATGTGAGGGAGCCATTTTTTTTCCTTGTAAGTTAGAGATTACAGTAATTTCAGTTCTATGTAAACACAATCAGAATTTTTGTTCATATCATATTTAAAAAAATTGCACTATTAGAATTATGAATTTATTAAACTTCAAAGTGATCAATATGGAACAAGGACCTCTCTTGAAAGATTGAAAGAATGAATTTCCAATGGTTAACAAAGAAAAAAAGAGAGGATATAATGACAGAAATAATCTTGGACGTATGTAATTTCTTCTTTTGGGGGCTCTTTAACAAAACTGGAGTGACTACTAGCTAAGCATCAGAGGGTGCAATCCAATGTCTCCCATTCACAAAACTCTTGACCAAGAATGGATAGGCTGATTCGAAATCTATAGCTCTTGGGCCAATGAGACCCCACGTATTGCTGTTGCTCCTGGGGCCCAGCACTTGTATACTCCAAAGAACACAGTCCAAAAGTTGTTGAATTCAATTTCAGCCCAAAAGAAAAAATATTTTCGAATTAAATTGAAAGAAAATACAATAGCCAGTAATTATGAACAATTGCAAAGAAGTTAATTTAAAAATAAAAATAGTGGAGGCAAATGAAGAATTTCCAAAAGGCAATTTCCATGATCTTATCACGATTATTAATATGCATGTTATTTTCTGGCTCTTATTATTTTGAGTATATAATGCGAAGAGCACCCCAAAAAAAAAATTATCGTTATTTGAGAATTGAAATAAAGGTTATGTAGAGCTTACTTGTTCTTCTTGTCCGCATTGTTCCAATCATCCCAACCAACCATCATGTGCAACAATGTCGTCGAAGTAGGTATAGGCATAGACAATCCTAGAGTACTGGCCCATTGCACTGCCCACATAAATCGGGCTGTTCCTGTTACCTTGCATCGTACGAATGCAAAGCCTGTCCTCTCGTATGGGTATTTTTCAGTATTTAAAAACACGTATCAGTTATCGATTCGGTCGAGGTACTAGGTCATTGGTTCAATTGGATTTATTGTTCACGTGTTAAAAAAATATAAACATGTTATCAAAAAAAAAAAAAAAAAAATATAAACATATTACTTATATTAAAAATTCACATAAGAAAACTATCAATGAACTTCAAAAAGTAAATTGGTTCTCAATGATAGCAAATATTATATACTTCTAAGCTTCTAGCTCTAGACCATATCTGAATATTTGATTAAAATTGCAATGTAGGCTAAATGCCTTTTTTGTGCCTTGACATAACACGGATAAATTCAATCATGTAAGCATGAAATATACACTAAGGAGAAAATGTCTATCGTTGAGATGAGACTATCAGTGTTTATCCCCACTTAACTTCTTAGGATCATTATAAGATGCAACTAAATTACATAAATGAATTGCACTGATCCAAAATACCTTTTTATTTGCACCTTACTTATTAATCACATTTACCACAAAATATGAACATGATTTAATTCAAGAGTTCTAATCAACCAAAAAAAAAAAAATTACCAAGAAAAAGAAAGAGGATCAACCGGTCTAATCCGGATCAACCACATCGCCGGATCAATCGGTCCAAACCGAGTTGACTGCGAAACCGGTCGAAATGACCACTTGAACTGGGGAACTCACCGGATCACCGAAACCCGAGTTGATCTAGCCGCTCCAAGCCGATTTTCGAAACACTAGTATTTTCTATCTTGTGCTAACCTCATGGCAATTGAGTGTAGCTCGCAATCGTGAACCAATCAATACTCGTAACAGTGACCAGACTGTCACGTTTTCTCTTTTCGGTTTTTAACCAATCATGCATATGATTATTGATCATTGAGGCCATCCCTTGAGACCCTCATTTGGTCAAGTAATTAATATGTTATGGCGATGGTGATATACCACTGAGATCAATAGGATTCCTTCTATATTTGGGAAGAGAATCGGTGCTCTTAAAAGGTCTAATGATGCGGAACTTTCTGATCTTATCTCAAAGCCTAACAAGATTGCAAATTTTAATACATGAACCAATCAGGCAAACAATACAGGTGTATGTGAACAATAGCAAAACAATCTTATATACACAATAATTCCCCGTCTTCCTCCTCCTATTAGGTGCCACATGGCCCTCTTGCTCCAAAAGAATGAATAATTTCAACCACAAGTCTTAATGGTGCTAAATCCATGGCACTTCCTCCCCCACAAACAAGTAAAGTGAATAAAAAAGACCACTCTCGGTTCTGTGTACAATAAGTGGGGTATCATGCCCCTTCAATTTTCAATGAGCTTGTCAAGAAGGCCCTTCTTTGTCACAGCTATTGTATCATGCCCAATTACAATGCTCAATATAACTTATTAAACCAAGAAGGTGGCGAAGATTCTCCCAATCTTGGCATAAATGCTTCCCTTTCCAGAGATAGCTGAAGCCCTGCCATTATCCTAGTCATAGAAGCCCACAAAAATGGTGCAGCACAGAATGCATAACCAAAGACGGACAAAGCTCTTACTATTCCATTTGAATACCAAGGAAATGCCATGACCAATAAGGCCCCAACAATTCCAAGCCAAGGTCCCAAAACTGGTAACATTGGCAGCAGAAAGGCATTAATTGCAATTAAGCATAGTGCTAAAACACCAAGCAAATACAGAGGCCAGCCCAGCAGAGGGTGAACCGTGTGAGGAATGATAAAGAACGGTGTTAAGTAAGCAGCAAGGATGCTCCACAAAGCTACTAATTTGAGGGTATTCTGCACCAAGTTGATGTTCTTATCAGAGCGCCTATAGCACAGCTTTGAGAGGCTTGGCCTAGCCAAACGCGTCATTGTTATTATTCCCAGATATATTGCAGATTGAATAAGTATCACAGCCATCTCTGCACTATAACTGTGGAAAAAAAATGTTTTCAAAAGAAAAGTTGTATTAGAAAGAAGCTCTAATGATGTAACAGAAATCAAAGTTCTAGCAGAAACAAATGACGTTCAAAAGGCCAGTGTTTCCCAAGTTTGAAATATTAATAACAGAAGACCATCATCATCATTTACCATCAGAATCAAGTACAATTCATCGACACAAAAAATGAATACACCTATTATGGACCTTACCCTAAAGTTTCGCGACGTTTTTCATGCCACTGGAGGCCTAACGGCAGGACAGGCCACGACCACCAATACCATGGCTTCAACCATACTGCCCCCGGGAATGTTATCACACTATTTGGTCCACAGGGTATGTTCCAGCGAAGTTTAAGATCTGAAATCAGGACCGTTATTAGCATGAACTCAGATTGCACTAAGCCAAGTTCAGTTTTAAAAACTAAAAGATGCATATTCACTTTCTTTTTTGTTATATAACTCACAGTAGTAAGAAGCATCCATCTGATAACCTAAAGGAAGCCTATATGCTCCATCAAGCTTGGTGCCATTTGGAGTAGGATGAAACAATGGCTTATCAAGCAACTCTGGGAAGTAGCTAGCTATGAAACCCTGGTCTGCACCATCTGGATTTTCTCTCCCATTTCGTAATTCATCAACCATGTCCTTGAACACGGCCATTGATGGCTGCAAATATCAATCAATTAGAACCCAAAAATACTTTTTTTTTCATACACTGCAGCATAAGATGTTATCACTATTATTATTAGTAACATACATTATTATAGTTTGGTACAGAGATGCATATAAAAAATAGTTTTACCCATTATTTTTCTTTCCTCATGAACGAATCACCTCAGTGAGATATTGTTTTAAGCCTTTTAACTAATATTAATTTTAGACATTTATAATGTCAATGGAACTTTAAAATTAAAAGATAGGAAGGATCAACCTAATAGCCTATTAATTCCTAAGATATAACTGGAATCAATAACTAATACTGAGATACTTATAAATCCTCCCAAAGATTAAAAAGTCACCAATAATTATGTGAAAAGTTTGGAACTATATTGAACTTTCACAGATAATGGTTTTGTAGCACTTATGGACAAACTCACCTGTAAGACGAAGAGGCCTGTGTGGAAAATGCAAGGATTGATAAAGACCGCACAAAATTGTCCGCATTCAAACAACTCGTCTGTTTTTTGAAGGAATAGGTTGTCAGCGTCCAGCATGACCACCCTGTCATAGTCCACTAGGCTCCACGCGTAGAGTTTGTTCAAAGATAACTTAAATCTCGTGTCAAAGTTATCTTGATGCTTGTATGGATTGTCCATGTTTTCCACTCTTACTACTTTCGCACCATCTTCCTTTTCACTGGACAACCAAGGAAAGAAAAGAAACAATGGTCAATTATCCATCCAACTCAAATTTATCAATTTATTAGTGCATACACGCAAGTGAACTAGTCCACATACAAAAAAAGGTAACATTACTTTTAAGTTGTATATGGTCAGGCTACTCCATCAAATTGGTTATCTTATCATGGTGATTCGATGGAACAAATATTGATATTCCTTTTCGTATAATGCCTTCGTTTCAAACCTTCTTTTTTTTTTCCCTCTCTCTTTTTTGTTAGCTTTAACTTTATGCATAATCTTTTGGAAAACAAAAACATACAAAGTGGGTTCAGTAATTGCTCTGATTAGTAATATGACAACTGATAACTAGGCAAGTGCAAGACTTAGATGTTGGGAGCACTAGCCTCTAGTTATTCCCTGTCTAACTTTTAAGGAAGGTTGCCAAAATTAAGATAAGACAAATAGACTCATTTATTTGAACATTTAGGAACATTTATTTTAATTTGCGTTAGAGTGTGTAATATACTATAATAAAATGCTAGAGTGAGTTGGCTGGCTCAACTAATAGACTTATCAGTAAAGATGTTTGGGGTTACATTATTGCTAGTAGACTATTACCAGTAAATCATCTGATCCGTAAACACTACAATAAATTGATATCATCAACGCACGTGATTGTGTTAGCGATAAGAAAGTGACAGATTATTATAATATCAATAAATGTGGAATTCTACATAACACCATAAAGTTCTACGAATTCCACTACAAATTATGTGGGCACAACAACCACACAGGACACAAAAAAGTAAAACATGAAGGATTCTTTCCTTTTAACAGTGAAAGAAACGTGTTCCATGTAGTATAAAATGTCTTGTTCTGATACTTTTCTTATAAACATGGAAGTGGAGGACATGCTTTTTATATAAGTGCTTTTAATAAGAGTTTTTTGTGTGAGTACACGTTTGTCCTTGAGAAACCAAACACCCTTCACATCATTTCACTTGAGAAATAGAGGATATTCGAATCCATATAATCGGGTGCTTTAGTCCTGTACAAAGAATTTTCCCCCCCCCAAAAGCATATCGCTAACCAAATCATTATTATTTTGTTTTTTTTGTTGAAAACCAAATCATTATTTACCTCATATATCATTTTACAAAAACTGGCTTTTTAATTTATTTATATCATGATTGAAAAAATATTCAAATTAGCAATCTAAATATACATTAAACGTTAATTTTAAAAGATAAGATTATATTTATTGCCTTTTTTTTACTACCAAATTCTAACAGTTGATTTCAGTCGATCTAACGGTTATAATTTATTGAATCATACTTATTAATTAATTATTAATTCCCAATAAATTATAACCGTTAGATTAACAGAAATCAACAGTTAAAATTTGATATTAAGAGATAATAAGAAAAAAGTAATAATTAAATATAAATTTAATTTTCATACTAAAATAAATAAGTTCATAGACTAAATTAATATTCAAAGGCTTATTTTATCCATTGAGAAACTAAATTAATAATTAAATTTTTAAAAAAAATCAACATGATGTCCCGGGTAATTTTAAGAAACAATTTGAGTATTAAAAAAAGGGAAAATGATTTCTTTTGTTGAGTCACAAAATATTTCTATCCCCCCGCGAAAGAAGAGAAAAAAAAAAAGAAAAAAAGAGAAAGAAAGAGGTCAATCATTTTATGAGTTTCTCTCTCTTTACGGGTTTTTCTCTCTCCTTTTCTCTCAATGGCAGATAAATATTTTATGCCTCAAAGCAAAAATCATTTGCCCTTAGAAAAATACGAAGAAAATAATGAAAACATTTTTTCATAATTATTATCATGACGAAAAAGAAAAAGCAACCGGGAAAAAGGCAAAAACAAATAGGAACAAGACGCGAGTGAACCAGGAAGAGACCATCCCATTTCTCAAGAACGAGGTGGGTAGTAGTAGAACCAATCGTCAAACACTCTTGAACTTCACGCGCAATCCCAAGGCCTCTCTCTAACAACACTAACGCCACTCACAACTCATAGACAACTGGTTAACATTTAAAAAAAAAACTCATTTATTAATAATTAATAAAAAATTCCCGATTTTTAGACAAACGCGGAAAACGATAGTGGACCCTAGCCAGGGTTACTGCCTTACTGGGATTTGAAATTTTCAACCTGGACCAGTGCTGATGGACATCCATGCCCTCATACGCATAAACATGATGCGCTGTGCTAGCCAATCACATCAAACCAAAACGGTCTCGTTTCCCGAACCTTATCGCCATCTTATGGATCTTTTTTCATTTTCCATTTTTCTTTTTCATTTTTTTTAATCTCTTTCCTTTTTTACCCCAAAACGAAAAAACCAAAAAAAAAACATCAACCTAGACGAAATTCAGGGGAACAACTAGACTACTGTAATAAAACCGAAAGCAGTTTAAAACATAGGAAGAAGCAAAGAAATCTAGAGATAAAACAACAAAAAAATAAAATAAAATTCAATAAACAGGGGAATGAAGAAGAAGAAGAATGAAGGGTGGGACTTACAGAGCTCGAATCCATCGAATAGGAACATCAACAGAAGCAATGACAACAAGATCTGCTTCAACTTTGAGCTTAGCCAGTGATTTAATAAGAACGCGTATAGCGATGTAAAACTCATAGTCCCTTGGGGTTCCAACATACATCATGGTAGCGTAAGCATTTTTGTTGGCTGTGACAACAGGCATGGTTGACAAACACCATATCCCTAATAACAACACCACCACCGACCCTCTCACAAAAGCTGCATTATTGTGGTCACTTTTCTGCTTCGCACAAGCCATACCCCAAAATTATAGAAAAAGATGAAAATCCCCACTTTGTGTATATATGGTAAGTAAATATTCCCACTGTTTCTTTCTCTCCTTGTGGTACACTAATTGGTGGTACTTTCCTCTCCCCTTCCCGTGTGTGTGGGGAGTGAGTGGAGATCGAAACGGTGGAGTCGCTTTGGGAGAAAAAAATGAGGGAAAGATGAGAAAGGGGGAAGGATGAAAGAGATGAAGGATTTACTAATTTATTTATCATAAATCGATGAGGACAAAGGGCAATGAATTGGGGAAGCAAAGGCAAGAGCTTTTAAAAGCCTAGCTTAAACGGTTCTCCCTAGATGCTAATATAGCTCAGAAGGAATCTCCTCATTTTTTATTTATTTTTTATACCCTTTTTAAAAATCTCTATTTATCTATAATTTAAATATAAAAACATATTTGACCTCTTAAAGAATATAATTTTATGTTATTTCAAATTTTAATAGTTGATTTTCATCAATTAATAGTTGTAATTTATTATATCAAATTTATTAATTAATTAATAATTTATAATAAATTATAATTATTGATTGACGAAAATCAGCGATTAAAATCTAAAATGACACAAAATTATATCCTTTAAAAGAACAAATATTTTGATATATATATATAAGGCAATATATATTTACTATCAATTTTTTCTTCTATCATTCTAATTATCATTGAATTCAAAAGTTTTTTTTTTTTTTTTGGATTACATCCGGGTATCCTCACAGCCGATAGCCATGAGACTAATCCCTCGCCCCGGGTCAGCACACAAAGCGGTAAAGAGCTGGCCACGGAATGCTTTCCATTCACAAGAGTTGAGGTTCGAACCCCCAACCACTTGCTTAAGGGGACGAGATGCTGAACCATCACGCCCACCCACGTGGTTTCAAAAGTTAATTTTTTGTCTCTCTTCTTTTAACTTTTCCTCTAATTCAATGATGATTAGAGTGATACTAAAAAAAATTGATAGTAAGAATATCCTACCTACCTCTATATATATATATATATGAAGTAAACATTTCTGCAGCCACTTTAGATAAGATTATCTACAGCTATTCTTTATAACTATGTTCTCCAGGGAGAACATAGTTATAACATTAAAGTTGTTTTTTTTTTTTCTCCTCATTTACTTTTCAGAACATGTCTGCTGACGTGGAGAGAGAGAAAAAAACAACTTTAATATTATAACTATGTTCTCCCGGGAGAACATAGTTATAAATGAGTAGCTGTATATAAGCTTATCTAAAGTGGCGGTAGAAATATTTTTTTCTATATATATATATATATATATATGAGGTTAGATTTTTGGCAAAAAAAATAATTTAATGCTTTTTAATAAAATAATTTCGCATTTATTACAGTTTTAAAAATAATTTCGGATCTACTGCACAATGTGACGCCCAAGAGGGGCGTCACATTGTGCACCTTATATATTCCCCTTCCATTCTTACAAACTATTCACACCTCTTCTCTCATCTTATATCTCTTCTCTACCAAAATTCCTAACATCATACATACATAATCCTTCATCTTTAATTTAGTATTTGAATTTTATTTCTTATTCTATTTAAGAATGAGTTCAAATACTAATTTTGTTCGTGTTGTGTTATATTACATTGGAAGGAAGGTAGAAGGTCGACGATGTGTCATGTTTGAAGGTGAAAAAAAGTTGACACGTATCCAACGCAACACAACCATTGGTGAACTGCATCAGAGAATTCGGCAGAAGTTAAGTCTTCAAGCCAACCAATGTATCACTCAAATCACGATAAGGTTATGGTAATGTGATAAATACATTAGTTTGCAAGTGGTTGACGATGAAGATGTTGAGATAACAATGGAAGAGTTTTTCAACCAGTCAAGGACAGATTTTCTGGAGTTGTATGTCGACATCGCCGCAGCGGAGAATGTTCCATTACTGGTGAGGTCAGTTGATTTAAATTCTCCCTGTCTTCCATCAACATTTGCCGCTCATGCGTCTCCAGTTGGTAACTTTTCTGAGGGAGATGAAAATGATCCAACTTGAGAAATGCACGACGAAGACGACGACGATGATGAAAACATCGCAATGGAAGAACGTCTTCGGAGGATGCTAGTGCTTCAGATGGAGATAAAGGTGGTGAGATGTGTGCGTCTCAAATCTCAGTCTACCATGAACCAGTGGTCTCGCAAATACCGCAATTTCATGACGTTGTGTCTGCCCCATTATATAATCATCAAGGTAATTGATATAATTTGTATATACCTGAGTTGATACCTGATTTAATATCTGATTTAGGAAGTTTGTATTAAAAACTTTTAATTATCAGATGCAGGTGACGAAGTTGTTATTCCCTTTTGGCAAGGAATTCTGCATTATTCGTACATTGATTGGAGTTATCGGAGTGAACAAGAATCATGCACTGATGGTACGATTTCAGGATCGGGTTCAATACAAGGTTCGTGGCAACTGGGTGACTAGTTATTTGTGAACCAAGAATTTGCAACAAAAAAAGATGTCCAAATGGCACTTAAGCACAACCTGATTAGGGAGCATCAAGAAGCAATTGTAATTGAGCACGCCTGCAAAGTTATCCATGAAATGTTGTGCGTACGATAAAGGTTGGTTGTGGCGCGTTAGGGCGATCAAACCAGTGTTTGGTGAAAATTGGAAGAATACGAAATGGGGTGGAGATCACACTTGTTTGAATGAGCACATTTCCTAGGGACATAGACAGCTCGATGCGGACGTTATTGCGGATCTCGTTATATGTACGTATTTATTTTAAATGACATGTCAACGTTTACATACTGCTGTGTCATTAAATTCGTTCTATGTTATAGAGTCTGTGACCTTTTCAATGCAGGGATGATAAGGGAAGAACCATCTGTCTCAATTTCTTTGGTTCAAGAAAGGATAACCTCTAAATATGGGTTTAAAGTTTCCTACAGAAAGGCATGGTATGCGAAGCAGAAAGCGATGACAATTATGTACGGTGATTGGGAGGAATCGTATGCTTTTTTGCCAAGGTGGTGCGAATACATGCTTCGCTTTTCTCCAGGTTCATTTTATCATATTCAAACAAATGATTTTTATGCGGAGCATGGGTTAGTTACTGAAAAAAAGGTGTTTCTTCGCATGTTTTGGACGTTTAGACAGTGTTGTGAGGTGTTTAAATTTGCCAAACCAGTCATCCAGATTGATGGAGCGCATTTGTATGGGAAGTACAAAGGCAAATTGTTGGTGGCCACAGCCCAAGATGGAAATGATGAATGTTTACATACTGCTGTCATTAAATTCGTTCTATGAATCAGCCATGACCCTAAACTCACCATAATATAAAACAACAATGAATGGTTAATCACATGTAACAACACATTTCATGTACTAATTAATTAAGAAATGCCCTAATTTATTATCAAAAAAATTAAGCATAAACCCTACGTTTTTACTAGAATCGACATTAATGAAATATTATTAATACGTAGTACAGTTATTTATTTGTAATTAAATTATAATAAAACATCAGACACAAATTAAATCATACTGACATAATATTTAACCCTAAGTCCATAATAACTTAATAAATATATACTAATCATCACACCAAACTGACTACAAAATTATCAATACACTCTCGCATTAATAACATCATACAAAATTTACGAAGTCACTATCACTATCACAAAATAACATCATAAATATGTATTAATAATAATAACTATGTAACAAAAAAATTACTATATCATTACAACATTCATAGCATGGTACAAAATTTCTAAATGACTATCCTAATGTTCTAAGTCTCTAATATACGATAAATCCTAACATGTTCGCAGAGTAGCACTGTAATTTAAACGTATACATAGCAGATATTATGAACTTACCTAAGTTGGCAGAGCTTCGCTACGAAAATCTTCGCGTTCGGTCGAGAGCACAAACCGTGGTTAGAGAGAGGTGAAATAGTGAGAAGTGAAATGGTAAAAAAAGGGTATATATAGGGCACACATGAGACGCCCCTTTTGGGCGTCACATGTGACGCCCCATTGGGGCGTCTTCCCTTAGGGTTAGACGCTTCGATGGAGCGTCACATTGTGTAATAAATGTGTAATTATTTTCAAAATTGCAATAAATGCGTAAATATTTAATTAAAAAACATTATTTAAATTTTTTTGCCAGGATCCTTTGACACCAATGTAAAATTTTAAATTTGACATCTTATCTGAAAGTCGTTAGATCAACAAAGATCAACGACTTTGATTTGTAAGCATATGACATCATTGATTTTTTTGATCTAACAGTTATAAGATGAGGTGTCAAAGGATCCTACCTATATATATATATAGGGAAAAATTATTCTTATGTCACATGAGAAAAAAAAATTCTTCTACACACCCTTCGATAACTGTGCCATCTTTTTCTTTTCTTTTATTTTATTTTTTCAAGTAGTGGAACCCACTAGTTTGTCTCTATGACATAAGATAACTATATCCTTTAACATGAGATTAATAAAACTCATATATATATATATATATATATATATATATATATATATGTATATATATATAGAGAGAGACAGGATCCTTTGACACCGGTGTCAAAAAAAAAGTTTGACACCTCATCTGAGAGCCGTTAGATTAAAAAAAATCAACGATTCTGATTTGTAAGCATGTGACACCATTGATTTTTTTTAATCTAACGGCTCTAAGATGAGGTGTCAAACTTTTCCTTTGACACCGGTGTCAAAGGATCCTGCCTCATATATATATGTGTGTGTGTATATATATATGCATATATATATGATCCATTTTTTACAGTCAATATAAATAAATTATCTACATAAAATCTAAAACAACATTGTTTTAGGACGGAAATCAAGGTATTTTTATAATTATAATTTATTTCAAGGTTATAATAGTCTTTTTTATTATAATTTTTAAATTTTTTCAACCCAAAATAACGTCATTTTTGAAATAAATATAAATATGATAATTTTTTTCTTTTTTATTTCAATAATTTATGTATTTACTATAATAAAGTTCTGAATAAAAATCTCTCAAGTCTTTGCACTAGTGGCATCGAGTTCTCCATATAGTTCTGGGGAAATTGTTTTAAACTTCCTATCAAACATAATCAAGTAAGAAATCTATCTCAACTTTTTCTGTCATCTTAAAAGAAGCCTCTTACTAAACATTTCCCTATACATATTTGATTGCCCACGCAAAAACAACAAAAGAATACAACATGACGTTTTAGAAATGCAACTTGTCCTTT